GGGCATTACTAAGCCCTTGTGGCATTACTAGCCATTCCCAGAGCATGCCGCTAGGCGTGCTAACTGCGGTATAGGGTATATTCCGTTCTCGCATAAGGATTTGATAGAAGCCATCCATCAAATCCATGGACGAAAAGATGGTACTCTTTGACATACCATCAATGATTACGTCCTTCCTCGGTATCGGCGTCTGAGCCGGTACCGTTGCAGCGTTCAATTTGTTAAATGCATGCACTCCGCCACCCTCCTGTTGCTTTTCGCACACAGAAGGTCGGAGAGATATGTGGGGAAGTTGATTCCCTCATATGACCCACAGCTAAGCGATCGGTGAAGAACTTGTCGATCGCAAGTACTTGTTCACGAGGCAGTGGCCACTGCTTCATGACACAGTACTTCGAGCCTAGTTTAAGCTCGACCTCGTGTCGAATACCTTCATCCTTCGGTAATTCGCACGGAACAGTTTCAGGGAATACATCCTTGAATTCAACCAAATCTTCATAGAGAGGATTTTTCTTGAGCGATTCCCATGATTGGGAGTCATATCGCTCAATTCGTGTCTTTTCATCTAGGACACTCTCGTCCATAGATGAACTACTGAGAACTCTCTCGTTCTCAGTAAACACTGTTGCTGACCTTATGTCGGTTACACACTCGTCGTCAGCGACGAGTACGCAGATCTGCTTGACTTTGCCACTACGCAGATCACGCAAGAACCTTTTATGTTCGAGCGTTGGCAACTGAGTGATCTCCAAAGTCAACTTCGGAGGCGCAATCAGATCAAGTGTGTAAGCGCCTACACTTGATCCGTCACTGACTAGGACGCTCAATGTCTCTGTCATTTCGTGGGGACTTATTCCCTCAGGCCTCGAAGGACTTATTCCTTCGGCTTCCCGGGGACTTAATCCCGCGGGTTTCGGGGAACTTATTTTCGCCGTATTTGTAATCTTGGGACTTATTCCCTTTACTTCCTCTAGCTGGGGTTGCGCAACCACAGCGAGATCCTCTACGAAATACTCTCCAGTCGATCTAGAATTATCGTTTCGCTTAACCTGAGCGATCGATTGTTTCTCTTCTGGGTGTTCCCCGCTAGGGATACATCTTTGTCCCGGTCCACTCGACTTATTCGAGTGGTGGACCTTCGGCGCAGCCTGTGTTTCCTCACAGCCGCCGACACTTTGCTCCGAAGTGTAACCGTTTGGTAAACTAAGGTTTTGTGCAGTCGTACTAACGACCGTACCACAAGTGGGGCCATCGCACTCACTCGTAGTACATCCACACGCTTGTGGACGCTCCAAAACGTTCATCAGATGGCCATCTGATGAACAAGCGGCAGGCATCGTTACTGTTCGATGTTGCCAGTTTACCCGTGGTTCGTACCTTCTGAGCCACGGTATTCCAAGGATGACATCAAATTTGTCATCCAAATCCAATACGACAAAGTCATCGTCATATTGGGTATCTTCTATCGTATAGTGGATCTTCACTATACGCTTCATGACGGTTACGGATGCGCCTGTCGCAAGACGTACCGTCATCCTCGTAGGAGGTGTGTCACATTCACTGAATTTAAAGTGACCATCTTCTAGCGATTGGCGTCGCACAAAATTGTTGGACGCCCCACAATCGACTAGAGCTCGAAGAGACAACTTATTCGTCACTTCGAGTTTCAAGGTAATGAGTGAGACCTCATTACCTGGAGCAGCAACGCACAACGTTTGTGTGTTGGGAGCAACCTTCATCAAGAGGCCTACAAATTCTCTTGAAGCTGCTGGACCAGTAGGGTGCTCCGCACCTACTAATCCTATCCGGTTTTTGACGGTCCATCCCGTTGTTGCGTCTTTGCACCAACTGCGGACCCTCTTCCCTGTCCCTTTCTCATGGGTGGACGGTCACTACGCCCAGTGTCGCGAGACACTGGACGAGGGGCACTACACTCGTAAGCGTAGTGTCCTGTCTTTTGACATCTGTTGCATCTCTGCAGCTTCTTGTAGCCTGTAGAGCGAGCCTTCTCGCTCTCTACATAACAGATTTCCATCGGCTCTGGACTTCCGCTGTCATATCGTCCCCGTTGAAGATATAATGTCGAGCTGGCGCGAGCCTGTCTCAGACTGAAGTCTTCCTGCTCCGCAATGGAAATGGCTTGTTCTAGTGAATCTAGTTCAAGCCGGAACAGGTGAGTCTTGACGGGACCATCCGCAAGACCCTGCATGAACACCGAAACCAACGTGTGTTCATCTACCGGGTTGGAACTTATACAACTCGTGAGATGTCGTATATGTTGAGCGTAAGCGTGCACATCACGCTTACCCTGCTTGAGCTTCAAGAGTTCGGTTCGAGCTCTGAACTCAGCTCTAGGCGGTTCAAACGTTTGTCTGAGCCGCGACTTGAAGACTTCCAACGACCCAAACGCATATGGGTCGTGCAACTTGAGCCCCAGTGCCCAAGTCTTGGCACGTCCTGCCAGATTTGACTGGGCAAATGCAACTTGCATATCCCCGTCGTCGATGCGACGCGCCCTTATGGCGTCATCCAATTCGACGAACCATCTCAAGAGGGAGTCTTCTTCAACCCCCCTATACTTGGAGATGTCAATCTTCAAAGTCTCGGGTCGACGCGAGTGCATCGACCCACCAGCAGCAGCCTGCTGCTGTCTCAACAGTTCAAACTGATGAGCACCCTGTTCTCTCAACAACTCTGCTTGTTGAGACCTTGTTGGTGAAGCAAGGCTACTTTCTCGCGCTCGGCGTCAAGTTCATTTTGAATGAACTTGGCGATAGTAGCATGTTGGGCATCTCTATTGAGAGCCTCTAGCATGACGCTAACAGCATGGATGCCCATGGTTGAACCCATCCGTTCAACCGCATCCCATTCGACATCGCTCAAATGGGAGTAGCCGTCACGCGTAGCGTGAAAGCTTTGGTCATCTTCATCATCCAACATATTCATGTTGGATGTGAACGCGGTCCTTGGACGGACTACAAAGTGCTACCAGGTGTAACGGGGCACCCTGAAGCTTGTACTGGTGACAGTACAAGCTACTTATTCTGATGACAGAATAAGGCGGTGCCTCGTAACTTCACGTACACTCGTACGTGCAGAAGAAGACGGTAAGAAGAAGCGAGTACTTGGTTAAAGTAAAAAGTAGAACTGTATTTATAATAGTTAATGTCTGCAATAAATCACTATTTATCTTCATCTAACTATGTCTGAAAACAAATGTGTAAATCAGTTATCTGCTCACCACTCATTGCGTGCGTCTGTCGTGGCGCGTCTTCGTTGGTTGATATAATGGCCTATATCAACCAATTAGGAACTACTCGTAAGTGCTGCAGAACATTCTGTCCTTTTGACAATATTCTGAGAATATAACTCTTGTAGTTATATTCTATTAACAATTTCTTATGAATTGTTATGTAACGGTTCACCCCGTTACAGCACTGGTACTGAGGAAAGCTCTTATGGAAACCTAGGCACGAACATGGTTGGCAGTTAGGTACCTTGCGCTTCATCGACTGCTGTGCTGGTTGCCTGAAATTGCTTATAGCTCATAGCTGATGTCCAGCGGCTGGATATCAGTGGCCAGACTCAGGGTTGCATCGGCTGCATGTCGATGATGAGCTCCGTTAATAGAAACACGATATCGATTTACTTAGTCGTGTAGAGCTTGCCATTGCTACAACTGACATTCGTGACGATGCCGTCAAAGTTAAACGCGTGATGGCAGACTTCGGCTGCTTTACTTGTCTTGAAATAGGAGCCGAATTTACTTTGGACAAAAGCGGATGCATCGATACATAGAAATCTTTAGGCTAGTTATGACTGTAACGGGGCACCCTGAAGCTTGTACTGGTGACAGTACAAGCTACTTATTCTGATGACAGAATAAGGCGGTGCCTCGTAACTTCACGTACACTCGTACGTGCAGAAGAAGACGGTAAGAAGAAGCGAGTACTTGGTTAAAGTAAAAAGTAGAACTGTATTTATAATAGTTAATGTCTGCAATAAATCACTATTTATCTTCATCTAACTATGTCTGAAAACAAATGTGTAAATCAACTATCTGATCACCACTCATTGCGTGCGTCTGTCGTGGCGCGTCTTCGTTGGTTGATATAATGGCCTATATCAACCAATTAGGAACTACTCGTAAGTGCAACAGAATATTTGTCCTTTTGACAATATTCTGAGAATATAACTCTTGTAGTTATATTCTATTAACAATTTCTAATGAATTGTTATGTAACGATTCACCCCGTTACAATGACAATACATCGTAATGCACTCGCATAGTGCTTTCGCATCGTAACCATCGCCCCAAATTGCAACAAGCAAGTACTAGCCAAAGTCGACGACTTGAGCACACTGGAGATGCCGTTGTGGCTCTCCTTGCAATCGATAGATCATGTTTGTGAAACGAGAATTTTTGTAGGTATGGCGATGGGTGCTACCGAGGACTTTTCAGTGATAGTCAAAGCTTAATTTGTTGCAAATAGACTATTCAAACGGATGCTTTCTCTTGACCTATAAACGAAAACGAGTGACATTTGTACGTGCACAGGTAGATTCAAAGTCATGCCTACGTAGAAGTGTGGTAGCCTTGTGATATATCACGAGCTACTTCTCGACTATAGACTTGCTTGGTACAAATAGGATGGCGTGCTTCACTGGCGACGCAGTGTGTCACGCACTTTAATTTATCTTGCGCTGCTATTGTAAATTGACTCAGGAAACCGTGGCGAACGCGAGCTATCTAGAAGATAGCTAACTTATAAGAAAGAACGTAACAATAGCCACTTACAGTATACATCTTTTCGTGTTATCTCTCAAACCAGCGCACGAGAGAATCAAAATGTCTGCAACCGCCGAACGACAGTACAAAGCTGCCGTGGCTCATTTCACTGCGCAACAGAGCTCGACAATATCGACCCGTTTCGCAAACAATGGCCCTTCGTGACTGCGCCAACATCGCTCGTAGTCGAAGCCTTCGCATCAGTCTCGTTCTAGTTTGACCCGTCATATGCAAACGTAAGTCCCTTCGCAGCTGAGGCCCGCCCATTACTAGAGGAATCAGTGATCGACGCAATCACATCGACAGACTTCGCAGTCATCGTTTTCGAAGACTTGCTGCCTGGAGTCGCCATGACTTCTAGTTCTTTTGTTTTCGACGCATTGTCTCCTTGCGATGTCTCGTCTCGATCTTTCGGATCTCCACTCTCCACAACATTGCTAATGTAGTCCAATACAGATGACACGCGAGTGTAAACACCAGGTTCCTTTCCGCAATGATCACCTGCCCAGCTCACAAACCCGACAAGCACATCATTGACGATAAGCGGTCCGCCAGCGTCACCTCTACAAGAGCTCTTGCCTTTGCCTTTACCAGCACAAATCATCCCTTCTGTAAGTTGATCCGTGTACGACTCAAATTGACTGCACTCTGCCTTCGAAATGATAGGAATGTCCACTTGTTGAAGAGTGAAGCTAGCAGAGCTCTCTTCAGTCTGCCCCCAGCCAAGTACCGTAGCGATGGTGCCAACCTTCTCGTCCGATCCGTCAGCTGCAGGCAAAGTCGCCACCTTGTGCGTCATCGCTGTCTCGAGGCGAAAGAGCCCCACGTCAAACAAGTGCTTCCTCTTGTTGTACATCGGGTGCTTGAACCCTTCAACAATCTTGATGGTCTCGCCATCCTCTCCGAAACTATACTCCGTATCAAACGAAGCCGTCATTTCAACTTCGTCCGTCTTGATACAGTGAGCTGTTGTCACGAGGTACCGTGGAGCAATCAACGTGGCCGCACAAACGGTCACGCCGTCAATCCGGATACTTGCCACGTAGGGGTGATCGTTACTATCGGCATCGAACCCACCAATAATTCGACTCTCTTCATCTGCCGTCAAGCCTGTGCTTTCCAAAACAGGTGCGTCTTCTGCTACGTCTTTGACAGTCGTGAACGAAAACTCTTTTGCATTGGCGGTCAAAGCAGAGGACGCGAGAACGACCGCCTCGAGATATTTCAGCATTGTCACTGCTTAATTACGTCGCCTTGTGCTTCGCGAAACGCAAAAGCAGTAATGCGGGGCAGAAGGACCACTTGTTTGCGATGCGGTCGTCAGCTGAGGTTTAGAGCTCCACAAACTGAAGACGGTGACTGGACAGAGGCGTTTAACGGACCAATAAGACGACGAAGCGAAAAGCAGCTGGGAAAAGAACAAGATGGGAACGCGCGGCATCAACGACGGTGGTACAATCGAGTCGCTGCGGATCATTCCGCTCCATACTGAAGTTAAGAGACAACTAGGAGAGGAGCAAAGTGTCGTCTCGAGCGAAGTCTGAAACCAGTCATGTCTTTCGTAGCGTGTCAATACTAAGGCTGTATACCATCGGACGGTCGCGACGTGGGTGTTTACAACACACATCTACACATGCAAGTGGTCGGGCCTTATTCGACAGGATCAGCAACGTCCTCTTCGCTGTCTTCACCACTCTCGGTCTCCTCCTCTTCTTCGTCCTGCTTCTTCTTGGTCTCCGGTTTGGCTGCTTTCTTTGTTGGAGCTAGCGTTACGTCCTCTTCGTCTTCTTCGTCTTCTTCCTCCTCTTCCTCTTCACTCTCAGACTCCTTTGCTGCCTTCTTTATCGTCTTTGGAGCAGCAGTCGCTTCCTCCTCCTCCTCTTCCTCTTCCCAATCGTCGTCGTCTTCTTGCGCTTCAGACTTGGCCTTGGTCAGCGACTTCGTTGACGTCTTCGACGAGGCCTCGACCTTGTCGTCAGCATCGCTCTCATCATCAGACATGGTCTCCTTTGACGATGTCGTCGACTTCTTGGCGGCCTTGGTCTCCTCTTCATCTTCTTCCTTCTTCACTAGATGTTCAATTTCCTCTTCTGCCTCCTCTTCTTCCAGCTCTTCTTCCAACTCCTTGTCTGCCGCAATCATCTGTTTCGCCTTCTTTTCTTGCTTCTTCGCAGCAGCCATCACTACCACGGCATCTTGCACCTCTCCTTCATCGCTACCCGCTACCCCTTCTTTCAGCGCATTGTCAGCTGCAGCCTCTAGCATCTCAGCCTCTTTTTTGGCGAGCCGGGCGGCCTTTACATCGTTCTCCACTTTTACTTCCGCGGTTGACGCCTTGGACTTCTTGCTGGACTCAGCCTCCTCTTTGTCTTCGTCTTCCCCCTTTTCCAGCTTTTCAATTTCTTCTTCCACCTCCTCTTCTTCCAAATCCTCTTCCAACTCCTTGTCCAACGCAATCACCTTTTTCGCTCTCTTTTCTTCTTCCTTTGCGACAGCCTTGACCTGCTTGGCATCCTCCACCTCTTCTTCATCGCTGCCCGCTACCCCTTCTTCCAGCGCTTTGTCAGCATCAGCCTCTAGCTTCTCAGCCGCTTTTTTAGCGAGCCGGGCGGCCTTCACATCTTCCTTCACTTTTTCTTCAAAATCTGACAGGCGTCGACGACCACGACGAACCTTGCAGCGTGATGATGTAGCAAACGCTACTGATGCGACGGAAGATCCCCCCGTCGGCGTGTCGGCAGATTCGACTGTAGTCAGAGTAGAAGATGTCGGTTCCTCCAGTGAGCGGGACAACGAAGTGCTGTCCATATTGCCACTTAGAACGCCATTGATGAACTCCATCACGGAAGTGAGACGCATGAAGACGCCTGCACTAACCCCACACTTGCCACCCCAGCTCACGAATCCAATCAAAGTGCCATTTTTAGTCACCAACGGACCACCCGAGTCCCCATTGCACGAATCCTTGCCACCTCCGTTTCCTGCGCACATCATACTCTCGGTAATGCGGTTGTTGTACAATTTGTTGCACTCGGCATTAGAAATGACCCCGAGATTCACTCGTTGGAGCGTCTTGCTCACCGATCCGTTCTCAGTCTTGCCCCATCCAAGCACGGTACCTTCCGTGCCAACCTCATTGTCCGAGCCATCTACTGCACATAATTTCACCGGCTTGTGCTTGGACGGCCTCTCGAGTTTCATCAGTCCCACATCGTATAAATGGGTCTTCTCCACGTACATCGGGTGTCGAAATTCAGCAACAACTTTAATCTTCTCCTCACCCGAAGTTGGACCAGCGCCAAGTGCTGTACCAAGATGGGCAATAACCGTGCCCCCCTTCTTCTTGACACAATGACCTGCCGTCACAATGTACTGTGCGTCAATCAATGAACCACCACAGAACGTCTTGTCCTTTGCTTCGAAGCGAAGGCTCGAAACAAAGGGGTAGTCCTGGATATCCGCTTCCGAGCCACCGTAGATGGAATTTTCCTCGTTCACTGAGTTCTTGACAGGCGTCGAAGCCACAGTGTCTGACGTCCTTGTGCTCGAAAACTCGTACCCATCAGTCACGAACGAGACCGTCGGCCAAGCAAACGCAAGAATCTGCGCAAGTTTCATCGCCCACGGAACAGGACCACCGTAAAAGGAGGTGTCTCAAAAAGCGACTAGAGCTTGTAAACCAAAGTCGATGGAAAATCGCTGCACACTGGGCGATGCAAAAGCTGAAATGACGGGTGGTCGACGTTTTTTGCGTCATCTCGCGGCTGTCCACATATGGTCGGCTTGGGTGGATAGCCGAGACAGCTCCTAGGTATAGTCCACAGCTGTTGTGGAGAGCTTCAGGCGATGGTACAATAGACTAAGGTTCATTATGGACTTTGTCCTATGGCGCCATTGACTAGTTGCGGCCAGCCTATCACGATGAACACAGCAAGTAACCACGCTGGACAAGAAAAGGGCCGACTTTACTGTGTGATCCTAGTGGTTGTAGTGGGAAGGTTGGGCCGGTCTTGACGCAGCTGCAAAAGCACGACGATGTACAGATTGGACGAACGGACGCTAAAAACGATTGACTTGGTCTAGGAAACAACATGAACACCGATCATACTAACCACTTGATCCGGTAGAGCGTTTGGTACGACCGCACAAGACACAGAAGTGCACAAACCGAGGCTTCATCCTCATCATATCTGCATGAACTCCTTGTTCATGTAGTTGCCCTACGAGCACATTGGCGCGACGTTAGGACTCAGTTGGATGAGCTCTGTCGACAAGGTGGAGCTTTGAAGTGGGTCAGCTGAAGGTGCGTGTGGATGAGCGACGGGTGTCTCCATTTCGCGAGGCTTCACGAGCTGAAGCACCCGCTGAAGGTGGACTGGGAGCTTTTGCCGCTGGAGCTGCAGCTGCCTTGATCGGTACAGGACTGGGAGCTTTTGCCACTGGAGCTGCAGCCGCCTTGATCGGTACAGGACTGGGAGCTTTTGCCGCTGGAGCTGCAGCTGCCTTGATCGGTACAGGACTGGGAGCTTTTGCCGCTGGAGCTGCAGCTGCCTTGATCGGTACAGGACTGGGAGCTTTTGCCACTGGAGCTGCAGCTGCCTTGATCGGTACAGGACTGGGAGCTTTTGTTACTGGAGGTGATGCGACCCTAGTCGGTAATTGACTTGGAGTTCTCACAGTCGGAGACACCGCAGCCGGAGATCTCTTCGGATCCGTTGACGCTTTCAGGTTCTGACCAGTTGATGCTGAAGAAAACCGGGCACCGTTGCCACCATGCACAATGTCGCTGATAAAGTCGCGCACGTACGACACGCGCGTGTAAACGCCAGAGTTGGCACCGCACTTGCCTCCCCAACTCACGACTCCAACCAGCACGCCATTCGCAATCAACGGACCCCCTGAGTCACCATTGCACGAATCTTTCCCTTTTCCATTGCCAGCGCACAACATAGTTTCCGTGATGCGGTCCTTGTACTGTTTGCTGCACTCGTCATTGGAAATGATGCGCACGTCCACTTCCTCTAGCTTCGAGCTCTGCGAGCCATTTTCAGTGATCCCCCATCCTCGGACTGTCGCAGCCGTGCCGACCTTGTTGTCGGACCCGTCAGCTGCACCCAGACCAATTGTTGCTGTCGAAACTTTCTTCTCGAGCTTGAGTACACCCACATCGTACAAATGTCCAGACTTGTTGTACAAGGGGTGGCGGTATCCCTCAATTACCTTAATCTGTTGCCCTTCTTCAGCTCCTTTGGCAAAAGCTGATCCGATTGAGGCATAGATGGTCGTCTCATCCGTCTTTACACAGTGACCCGCCGTCAACACATACTGGGAAGCGACGAGTGTGCCACCGCAGTAGGTACTGGCATCAGCTTTGCTCTTGCGCAGACTCACAATGAACGGGAACTGAGTCGCATCAGCCTCAGAGCCACCAAAGATGCGAGTCTCCTCGCTGACTGTCAGCCCAGTGCTTTCCTCTTCATCGTCTGCGGAGTCGTCCAGCAACAAGGCACCAGTCTTATCAAGTGCAGTTCTCCTAGCATAAGTAGATACAAGCATGGACGCCAGCACACTGACGCGAATAGCCACGATAAACTTCATGGTAAACAATGCAACGTTGAGCTCAGCGAGATTCGAGCTAGACAGGAAAAGTAAAACTGACCATGTCCGGCCAGGACACACCAAGAGGTGCATAGCGAACGACCAAGGCAAGGACTCGTATAGGGAGCGTGAAGTGGCAGTAGCGTCTGCCACGATTGCCATCCAGTGTAAGCAATAAAGGCACGGCCTTTTCGCTGCTGGTGCGAGAGTCATTACCAAAAACTAGGAGATTACCACGTCCGACAAGACATGATCGGCTGGTAAGTTTACATGTGGCGGCACGTTTACTGTAAACAGCCACAATTCAGAATGTTTGGTGGAGATTTTCTCCTTTAAATCAATTTATACCAGAGACGGAAAAACCCGTCGACATGACAACCATTGCCCCTTCATGACCCAGCCATGGTTCTTGCGCTTCTGCTCTCGATCCTGTCGACGACGACGGCTGGAACTGCTTAGAATCGAGAGTGTATAAGAGAGAGAGAAAGAGGATTTATCGATCGTTTACGGCATTTTACCAAGTTTTAATCATGTGCACAACATGCCTGAAACCTTCTAAGTGAGGAAATCGATACTGGATCACTCGCTTGTCGTGACCGACCGCTTCAAAGCCTAGAGTCGTCAGAGCATTTTATGAAGCAAGTTGGTCGATGCCGTTCCTCTTAGACGACCAAGTCGGGCGGGACCTTCATCTTCGCGCACTGTATTGCGCAACTTGGTGTGGAAATCAGGTCCGTAACGGCTAAATCGTGACAGATGTGCGACCTGATAGAACAGCTGTTGTGTGTCGTCAATTCATGTCGCAACTCTCTGAGCGTCACGCCAATGCCGCGACCACGGACGCACGAACCACTTTTATGGTACATCACGCAGCGAGCCACTCTTTTGGTACACCACGTACTGAACCACTCGTTTGGTACACCAAGCAGCGAACGCAATCCCTGTCAATTTGTCACCTCCGTCGTCATCGGATGCTGCTGCGCTGTGTGCGTCCTCTGCGTCCACGCGCTGCATCTCATCGCCTCTATGTGCACCCATGGCGTACACTTGCATCTGCTTCTTCTCCCAATGCTCTCGAAATCTGCATCCGTGAGCGTCAACTGCCGCCTTTTGAGCGCTTAAAACTGAAGGAGATCGAGCCCGCAGTAAAAAAAGCAGCAGCGGATTACACGCGTGCGCTGCACGGGCTGGAGAAGAGACTTGCAAAAAGTATCGAGAGGAAAGATGTGCAGTTTTGCCATGTGGTGGACCCGCTCGAGGTGCTGGGAGATGCGCTGGGACGCCTGTGGGGCATCGTCGGCCACCTCATGAGTGTGTGCAACTCGGACGAGCTGCGTGCTGTGCATGACAAGCTACAGGAGCTGGTGATCCAGACTGTGACAGAGACTTCGCAGAGCAAGACTATCTATGAAGCGTACGTTGCAGTGCGCGAGGGCAAAGAGTGGAACACACTCGAGCGAGCGCAGCAGCGTGTGGTCGAGCTGAGTTTGAGGAGCGCTGAACTCAGTGGGGTTGGTCTTGATGGCGACGAGCAAGAGATGTATAATAAGCTCAAGCTGCGTGCAGCTGAATTGGTGCGATTCACGAGAGTTGTTTTGTGAATACAAGGGTCGCCTTTGGATTTTGGTAGTTTTGACTGATGTTGCGTGCTGATTTTGTTTACCTTGTTGTTGTTGAATGTCTGGACAGAGCACCAAGTTTGGGTCGAATCTGCTCGATGCGACGAAAGCGTACGCGATGACTGTGACGAATAAAGACGAGGTGGAGGGACTGCCGTCTTCGCTACTGCAAATGTTTGCTCAGAGAGCGCGTGACGAGGGTCACTTGGATGCTACATCTGAAAATGGACCGTGGCGTGTAACGCTTGACCCGCCGTCATACGTGCAGTTTATGAAGTATGCAGCAAATCGGCCATTGCGCGAAGAGCTGTATCGTGCGTTCTCTACTCGCGCGAGCAGTGGCGCGTTTGATAATGAGAACATTGTTGATGAGTTGCTGAAAATCCGTCAGCAGATTGCCAATCTTCTTGGATTTGATTCATATGCGGAAGTGAGTATCTCGAAGAAAATGGCGCCCAGTGTGGAAGAAGTCGAAAAAATGCATCACGATCTGCGCAACAAGTGCGTCGCTATAGCGCATGAAGAGGTGAAGACAGTGGCGAAGTATGCAGAGCAGCACGGACAGACCGAGCCTCTGGAGCCGTGGGATCTTGGCTATTGGTACGTACGTACAAGCACGCATTGCAGTATCGTATAGCTTTTGCTAATTTGGCTTTTGAGTGCGTGTGTTATAGGTCGGAACAGCTCAAGGCGAAGAAGTATCTGTTCACCGATGAAGAGATCAAGCCATATTTTCCACTCGAGCGCGTGTGTTTCCAAATTTTGGGCCGGCAGCAAGTAGATTGAAACTAACTCATGGTATGTTCTGTTGCTGTTACATAGGTGCTGGATGGTCTGTTCTCGCTCACGACACGGCTGTTTGGTGTGACCATCGAAGCAGCTGATGGCCAGGCTGAAGTCTGGAACCGGGATGTGCGCTTTTTCAATGTGCGCAGTGGTGAAGGTGACAAGAACGTCATCGCTCAATTCTACCTGGATCCGTACTCTCGTCCGAGCGAGAAAAATGGCGGTGCTTGGATGAACACGTGCGTCGATCGCAGCCGCATGCTCGGTCCAAAGGAGCTAAACGGCAAGCGCATTCCAGTAGCCTATATAATCTGCAACCAATCGCCACCTGTGGGTGAAACGCCTAGCCTGATGACTTTCCGTGAGGTTGAGACAATCTTTCACGAGTTCGGCCACGGCTTACAGCACATGCTCACAAAAATGGACTACAGCGACGTGGCAGGTATTAACGGCATCGAATGGGACGCTGTTGAGATTCCGTCGCAGATGATGGAAAACTTCTGCTACGACAAAGGTACGTTGCGATTGGATGCAGGTCGTTTGTAGTACATGCCGTATTGTAACATGTACTATTGATCGATGCAGATACGATAGCAGAGATCAGCGGGCACTACAAGACGGGTGAGGTGCTACCTGACGACTTATTCGAAAAAATCAAGGCGGCTCGCAACTTTATGGTGGCTACGGGTATGCTGCGTCAGCTAGGCTTTGGTGCCTTGGACATGTACTTGCACTCGCACTACTCGTCATTACAGGAGCCGCTGTTTGCAGTGCAGCAGCGTGTACTGGGAGAGTACGCCGTGCTCAAACCCCTAGAAGAAGACAGGTTCCTGTGCTCATTCTCACACATTTTCGCTGGTGGTTATGCTGCAGGCTACTACAGGTATGTCGTTGAAGTATGTAGTGCCAAGAGGGAACACATGTCTTGTATGTGCAATGATTCGTCAGGTGACTGATGTGTGACATTGTCATTTTTCTGAGCAGCTACAAGTGGGCGGAAGTTTTGTCGTGTGACGCGTACAGCGCCTTTGAAGAAGCAGCAAAGGAGAGTCCTGAGGCTGTAACGTCTGTCGGGTACAAGTTTCGTGACACTATCTTGGCCAGCGGTGGTGGTCAACACGCAGAGCAGGTCTTTGAGGCCTTTCGTGGCCGCAAGCCGTCTATTACGCCGCTGCTGACACAGTACGGTCTGGCTGACAAGTAGCTGAAGCTTTGCATCCATGTTGGACGAAAAGGCCGTGGTCATTGTGCACAGAGCGATCATTGGAAAGAAGATTGGAGCACAAATGAATGGTCAGTGATGCGTGACACGCAGTTGAGACGATCCCTGCGACTTCACTCTGTTTCGACAACTTCGACATCACGTCGTATTGGATTTCGCAGGCCATGCGAAGAAGGAGCAAGTGCGTCTACCCTGAAAGTACAAGGAGACCCGTGGGTTTCAAAAGGATGCAAGCAAGGGTAGATGTTCGTTCCTTTGCAATACAAAGAACGAGACTTTTTGAAGCCAACGCGTTGCAAAGTTATTCACAAAAATGGGCAGAATGGCAAATGCACCGATACAGCAGCATAGCATCCCAGCTGTATGCTCACCGGCACAAAGTGCCGATTTAAACAACCTTTTCATCGCAAGCGACTAATATCAAGAAGATAGGTGTGATCACAAAAAGACCAAGAAAGAAACCCTCCAGCTCAATTACTACTACCATGGCATCAGTTCTCGCAGGGAAATGGCACCTTTTCTAGCAACCAGTCAAGCACGTTCTTGTAGCTCCTCAAAACTATCACAACTTCAACATCCGTTCCAGTGTAAACCCGAAGATGGTCGTCTCCAGTCTCTTGTCCTCGTCCAACGTGACGTCGTCCCGCCTGCCTCACCTCCACTCGTTCGTCGTGCTCACCAAACAATCGTCCAGTCGTCACTTCGCCCACCGTCGCAATAGTACCTCCAGCAGCAGCAGCAGCAGCAGCTCCTACTCCGCCGCCAGCTGTGGCACCAACAGTGACGAGTCGGATGCGTCCGACCTTGAAGTAGACGACTGTTCCATTGTGTACGAGTCGTACGCTGCTGTAACCAAGCGGAGCAGCCATCCGTTCATCCCTATGAGCTGGGACGATCTCCAGCTCGCCCAGATTTCGGGGCCAATTGACGCTCTAGGAGCTACACTGCGTCAAAAGCGCCGCAGCAGTATCGACGGTGGTAATCCACTGGAATCCACAGCTTTAGAGCTCTGTTTCGAGTTCCTCACGATCAAAGAGCTGCTCCAAAGTGTCGTCCACGTTTGTGTCCTCTTTCACGACGTTGTCGTGCAGTCACAGACGCTCCTCACGGGTTCGTACTGTCGTCAGTGGCGAGCCAACAAGATGCTGCCCAAGTCATACGTGACACTTTGTTACCACGACCAGCTCACGCTGTGTACTGCACGTCGAGCTGGTGCTTTGTACGAGCTGTCGACACGCAGTGCGGTGAATCGCCTGCCTAATGGCACGTACGACGTCGTGAACAACTCGATGCTGCGCAATTTTGCCACTGGATCCATTGATTCGATCCGTGGCGTCAAGAAACTACCGCTGTTATCGTGCGCGCAGGCTTTGCACAAGCAGATATCCTACTTCGAAGTGAGTCTCCAAGCAAGTGGAAGTGTCGGTCTTGTGTCGATCTCGAACGGAGCTGCTCGAGGGGCTTATGGCTTTGGCTCTCGTGAGCACGTTGGCTGGAATAGCGTGTCGTATGGCTATCACGGCAACGACGGTGACTTTGTGTTTAATGATGGTACCAAGCCCTACGGTGGAGAGCGACATGCTTTTGGTCCATTGTGGGGACGAGCTTCCACAGCTCAATGTAAGCAGGAGAGCCCAAGAGTTTTAACAGTTGGCTGCGGTCTGGATGCTGGCAAACGTGAAGTCTTTTTCACGCTCAATGAAGAGATGGTTGGCGTGGCACGAATGACAGAGGTGCTACCTGGTGACTATGCTGCTGCAGTGTCCCTCCACGCCTTCGGGGACAGAGCTGTCATAAATGCTGGTGCGGCGCCGTTCGTCTTTGACATCGAGGCTTTTTGTGCAAGTCCTTAGCTGAATTCTACAGGATTGAGCTAAGGGCTTGCACAAAAGAGTACCTGCCCCCCACCCGTTGACATCCATGCCGCCGACATCCGTCGACCGCTACCGTTTTTTTCTTCATGTTTGCGTTCATGTAGTGCATTCGTCTTGCTTTTTGCTTACCCATTTGTCGTTTCGTCAGGTCTTGAGTCCGCACATGATGCTGTATTTGACACATCAACTCGTCCAGCAAAACCTGCTACCTCTATGTTCATGAGTCGAAGAGCTATTGAGCAGAAGTGACCACGACACATACGCTGAGCCGCCAATTCTGATCATCACGCATGCGACATGATTGTCACCCCAGAGCTTTTCGCAGAGTACGCTCGCGGCAGCTGGTTTATGAGTTCAGTCCGGTACTTGTCTCGCATGTCGTCAAGAGCGATCTTGTCAAAGTATCAGCTAGTGTACTTCAAGTAGATCTTGAACGTTCTTTTGATCAGTAACAGCCAGCACTTCTGCAGTAAAGTGCTCGCTACCCTTTTCGGTGCATACAAAAGTGCACATGTTGCGGCTGTCTACCCGCCAAGTTGAGGCACCGCATCCATGTAGGTAATCGAAATGCTTGTCACACAGGATGGCCGTCGATTGTAATGAAGGTGATGTGGACATGTCTGATTAAAACATGATCAACTGCTGATTGATATCGAGTGGATGGTGTTTACCTGTCACTATACAAACTAAATTCTTGGTTGAAGGATACCGAAGTTGCGCCAGGATGGGCTTTCAATCCATCCACCGATGCATGACGACTAAACCTGGACGTTATCCCGGCGTAGGAAGGGCGTTGGTGAACTGCAGACTCTCAGTAAAAATACTCTAGCTTTTCGTCAACCCTGTTTCGATCAACTTGTCCAGCTCTTTATTCCATCCGCATGCAAAGGTTTATTTAAACTCATGATCAGCTTGATCGATAGCCATAACGCTTTCGTAGCCTGTCATGCTACAATTGTCGTGTCTACTTGCCAATTGATTCCAGTTCACCCGCCATGAATCAACGACTTCAAGTGGCTGCTGAATAACGGAAACGCAAAACAAGTTACATCTTCAACTTGTGAAGAAGAGGTCGACGAAGTGGCTTTGGCGTCAAGCATACCGGGGGACGTGAGTCCAGAGAAGAATATCGGTGATGAGATTCGCGGGCCAAAAAGCAGCAACTGCATTGTCGCGGACGGACGCAGTGTACACACGCTGCTATTTTAGCTGCAAACAGTATGCGGAAGCCTGAAACTTAGGTTTCATTGACATAATTCATACCGTATTCTCGTTCATTGCCGTATTCCACGCGGCCTCGTCTTCCAGATACATGTTACAACTTCGAAACGCTATACGTGCATTGTCTCCTGCAAAATATTCCCATGCAGAGTAGAACCAAAACGCGATGCACTTGCGGTAGTCATTGGGCTGACTTGACTTCTTCATTTGAAGAATACTGCGCCACTCCTCCATGACAAAATCCGAAAGCGTGTCCTCGAAACGCGAGAAACGCAGCGGATTGCGTACCGTGTACATGGTTGTCCAGTACTTGTTATAGCCCTCTTGCAGTTTCAAACCATCCAGAAACTCTGGAGCCTGGAACTCCTCGATTGAGCTGTCAAGCAAAAACGCAAACTTATCAACGTACTTGGCGTCCTTTTCGTAAAACTTTCGCCACGTCTGCATACAGTAAACACACCAGAAACCGTGAGAATCAGCTTTGCATCACCAACTCTTCGTTTAACTACAGCATATTTATACACACCACTGCAAAGAATTGCAAAGCTTCCCCCGGATCGTTCAGTTTAGTGCGGTGCATGCTGTGTGCGTGTCGCAGCTTGACCCTTTTCTTGCGTTCCCAGTGCCACTCCTCCATCGGGGGAAAGACCGACATCGGGACCATTTTCGACCCGTTGCCACAGATTGCAACATAGAATGAAATGATATCCTCTACGCTAACCGCTTTGTTCTTCTGTTCGCTCGCCTCCTTTTTCTTCTTGAAATCTCCTGCCTCATCTCCATCCGACCGCTCATTTAGACTCGGCTTAATGAAATCGAATCGAGTAACAAAGTACAAGAACTTGGTAGAAAAAGGTTTCTGTCCGAAAAACTTGCCCAATTGCTTCCGCAATCTCGTCATGTCCTTCACATAAGAAGCCGTGGTCTCCTCTGTCATGTAAAGATCACCTGCACAGCAAGCAAACGAAAGCACGGACCGTGTCAAAACCGTCTTCTCCCCTCTCTGGGTCCAGCATCATAATCGCACACATTTCATCGAAATAGCCGCAACGCACTGTGTTCAAGACACTCCAGTGTGTGCGTCGCCGTCGGGTCAATGGTCGCCGGATAATTGCACTCACCTAAGAAATGACACCAACGGAAGAGCGTAACGGCAGTACCAAAGACACATTATAATACAACAAACAACAAGAACAACAAGAACAACAACATAATAGCACCAACAACGCCCCAAAAGAGACAAGATAACCACCCCAAAACGAGCACGGTCAGCCTCCCCACTGTACTCACTCTCACAACAAAAAGAACAGCAACTTACTCACGCCTTCACGCACAACGTCCTCATGTCGCATGCGCAGGTCGCTCTTGAGCTCATTGAACTTCGTCCTCGTGCTGCAAAACTTGTTGTAGCCGACCCAGTACTGCGCGTACGTCTCGTTGAACACCAAGTGGCCGCGCTGGATGGTGCTGGCGCAGACGAGACGCGACGGGTCCGTGGCTCGCAGCCGCGTGATGTTTTTCCGCCAATCACGGATCTGGCCCGTCTTCACGCCGTACTTTTGCGCAGTAGCTGCTAGCAGACCCGTTCGATCGACCTCGTCGATGATCTCGAGCTTCTTGCCTACAGTTAGCGCCCGGTCAGCCTTCCCGCGCGCCATGATGAGCGTAACTAGCCGACGAGATACCTCCGGGCAGCTCGCGCGTCTCCCACCCGTTGAGGTCGTAATGTAAACGATTATTGACCAATCAGGGCGATTAGTGTGCTGGGCGCGTGGTGTGCGTAAATTCGGACCAATTTCGAGCTTATTACGGGTGTGGACGGTACATTTTTAGCTGTTTCTTATTCTTGTTATATTTGGTAGAAATGGAAACGTCAACCGACCACTGGGTTTTTGACAATTAACCACCAGGTTTTTGCTAACCACCCACGAGGTGTTTGGTAGCTACCCACCACCTCAATATATTACCGTCATTTATGCGTTTTAAGCCTTCTGATCGGTAGGGTTGAGAATTGCTTCGGTCTCAGAAGTAATGTACAATCTCATTTACAAATGATCGAATGCTAAATTTGAGCATTCTGTGCATGTCTGTAAGTCGGCGACGTGTGGTGGTTTTTATTCGGCCATCCATTTGACCAAATAATGGCTCGGTCGAATCAGAATAAGACAGGGGAGCAAGCTCTAGAGCACGCTCTTAAACATAAGTAATCCAGTTCGGAGACGTGGATCAAGTCGCAAAACACAATGCAACAGCAGCAGTCGCTGAAGAAGGAGTATGAGACTGTTAATGTAGGGGTTAACACAGCGCATTATGGTTGGGCAACGCAATCGGCTTGTTTTTATGAGCGTCCAGCATTTGCTTATGTGATCATGTTCACCATTGATCGATTTGTTAATAAATCAGATGTGTAAAGCACAATAATGACCCAGCCAAAGAGTGACACCTATCATGCTAATCGACCTATAGAAGGGGACAGGCTAGAGTGCACTTAGTACGTGCAAGGTACATCTAATCGCGTTATTTGCATGCACACAGACAGACACACATACTGAGAGATAAGTACGATTTTATAGTGAGATGTAAACGTTCGGTATTTAACCTTGTGCACACTTACTTATAGCTGCACCCTTCGGGCTCGCAATTATACGAGCAATTTTGGAACAGGCTATTTTTGTAGCAATTATCTAGCCAACCCGTACGTAAACGGACAAACAATGGCATCACATCACGACGTCTTTAGCTGCTTCAACATTCACAGAAAACATGATAGTGCTGGCTACCGCACAAAGTACTCGTTGCGTCTTCCTCGCTGGTTGCTAATGATGCCGCACCCCGGTTGATATCGCTAGAATACCACTAAACACCCTCCACGCTGTTGTTTTTCGAGCGGCGTGCTGCTGCCTCACCTTCATTGCCTTGAGACTACGTTAACTATTTAGGTTACCTTAGCAGTACCGTGATGTCGTGCCGGCTTGACAACACCTTTCGCCACCTTCATGCGCCAATCGCGAGTTCACAATCTTAGTGAAACGCAGCAATGTCAGCGCACTCGTGTAACTGCTTCAGTTTCTTTCCGTTATTGCTGATAGTCTTTTTGAATGGCGCGGGGGCAAGACCATGGATACTGGCCATGGGAAACGTGTCAATCTTCTCTATGTTGACAAAGAATTCATAATTTCTCTTCCATTCGACGACTGTAACTTGCCAGCGCTCAATTATGCATTGAATGACAGCCTCAAAACGTCCCCCAGAGCTTCTACCAGTCCTTATGCACTTAAATGTTCTCGCTGCTGATTCTTCGTCGACTGCAACTGGCTTGTATCTATTTCTTTGTGAACACCAAAGAATAACACGTTTGATTGCGTCATCTTTCCTGTTACCCGCCCTCTTGGTACGCTTGATCATTAGGACATCGCCCTGAGCTCCTGCATGTTCATTAACTTCCTTACAGGCTTGGTCCAGCGTTTCGTATGTAGTTTTAGGAGGTGGTTGGAGATTCATGTGAGAATGACTGACTATGGTTTTTGCGTGCTGATATCAATTTTACAAAGTAAAGAAAGTAGCGTGTAAGCGAAAGAAAAAGGATTGCATCAATTGTGTTGGGATTGGCTGCCAGTGTTTATCATCGTGGGGTTGTAGCATTACCAATCAACATCATGGAAAGTACATTGGATATTGTAGTATAGAAGGGGTGGTGGGTGGTATAACGAAAACCTGGAGGGGTTAACGTTTACCTGACTATATCTGTAACGGGGACCCTGAAGCTGTATGGGGACATAACTACTTATGATGACGGAATAAGGCGTGCCTCAACTCACGTACACTCTACTGAGAGGAAGACTAAGAAGAAGGAGTATGGTTAAAGTAAAGTAGAATGTATTTATCATAGTTAATGTCTGTTAATAAACCCTGTTTATTTATTATATTAAATAAAAGTGTAAATCAATATCTGTAATATTGGGTTGTCGTGGTTGTTGGTTGATATAATGGATATCAACCTATCAGGAATATCGTAAGTGTAGGATTGTATATGAAATGTTTGAGAATATAATCTTATAGTTTTATTTATTAAAATTTTTAAAATTGTATTAAGTATATCGATTTATCTTACACACCACCACTTACCTAATGGCACTGACTCCCGAAAAGGATCTGCATACAAATCAATGAAGTCTAATGAATTCTTCGAATTCAAGAATCCGACAGCAAATGGTGTGCGCATGGCTTTCAGTTAAAAGCGTCGACTCTTTTTCTTCGACTACACCAAGGGGGAAATGATCGATGTGCGCAATCGAGCGGAATTATACAAGTCTGTTGATGTCAAGCGGAGTACCAATACTTAGCTCATAGGATGATAGCAAAGGCTAATAGCGTATATGAGTGTCTTCACAAGCTGTGGAAGCTTACTTGACATGAAGGAGCTCACATCCATGATGTAACGGGGTTAAACAAAAAATTATATGGAATAAAAAAAGAAGAAAAAAGAAGTAAAAGGAACGACGAAGGTAGAAATGGGGTAAAAGAAGGTGTAACGACGGTTATTGAACCGGTTATGTTTTGTGTCCACAACAAGTAAAGATAGGTGGATCTGAGTGGTACAGTCTTGGTACCACGTACTTACGGTAATACCGCACCTTATCGGTGAGGGATAAGGGATAATACATCTGTCATTGGATCGCAATGTAGAAGTCTGTCAGACAAGGTTTTAGGGTTTTATTACCATAGTAAAGGACAAATAGTGTTCACTTCCCTTTTTTAATCGTTGGACACAAGTGCCTAGTCGAGGCATATGTGTGTTGTAAGAGTGTTAGCCTTGTAAAGGCGCTTACTTTTGTTTAAATAGTAGCGACTAGTTAGTATGTGATTCTGTGAATCGTAATCTCTTTGGTACCGGGATTGTTAATCTTATACGCTTGAACGACTCTACGTCGTTGTTAGTTGTTATAACCAAGAGACTCTTTGGGTCTAAGGCTTCCTCTGCCAAAGATGGCTAAGTGGATTAGCTTCACATGAAAGATGCCGAATAATTGAGCAATAAGGCATGCGCTTTGGCTCGAGAGAGCAGGTGTGCGGCCAAAAATAGCAAATTGCGTTTCTCCGACAGTTGCATCCGGACTTCTTCAGTGTAAATCTGGGGAGTACTCAATGACAAACAAGAGGGACGAGAGAATACCTGAATAGGCGTAGTCGAATTAAGCTCTGTTCGGCAAGCTGAAAGTAAACACTACCGCTGTGATCTCAGGCATGACACAAAGGGCCAAATTTGCAGCTTGGTGGCTGCAAGTTTCAGTCCATCGACCAGAGACGTGCTCATCTTCAGATTTTTCTTCTCAGAAGCATTGATCTCATAGTGGTCAGCTCTAACCTAGAGTGTGATACATCTTACAGGTCTACGTGTATTGGCAATTGTGCGGCGCGTAACATTGTGCGGCGCGTAGCCTTGTGCAACGCACTGTGGTATAAAAGAGAACAATCATGCTTTGGTTTTAGGGGGTGAAAATCGTAACACGTAGGGTGAAATTTCAACATTCTAACTGCAAGGCTGAGTGTCTTCAAGCTCAATCATTATTTATTACACCTGTGTCACGTTTGTTTGCTGCCATCTAAACTTAATATCTAGTAATTTATTTATTGCTTACTGCAATGTAAATTTTTGTGTCACCACCCAGATTGCGCACGATACTGGAGGGAGCAAGGCAGCAATTGGATGTCATGGCGATGTCATTAATTCCTCTCGCACACAAGATTAGGCAAAAAAAGATGGGATGCCGTGAACTGTTTATTTTTACCCTGCTCCTCGTCAACCCCCAGCGACACAAAAATGACCTCGCCAACATGATTCTTTCAGCCTTAGCACTTGGTGTTTGTCCTTGGTTAGGCGCGCTTCAGCATCTCCTTCTCGTGTATCGCAAATCACGAATCGTAAGTTTGCTAAAGTAATCGCCGAAAATTGGTACCTTCATCCTTCAATCTGTGACGCCGATCCTAGACGCAAACTAGGACATTCGAGCACGATGTCCTTGATCAGCATGTAAGGACCACTTGTCTACTACCTTCGTAGATTCTGCGGCCTGCAAAAAGCAATGGATTGGACCCATTTTTATTGCGAGCCCGAAGGGTGAAGTTAATGGTGACTGTGCGCAAGGTGAATGCCGAACTTTTTAAACCGTACTTATCTGCGTGCGTGTGTCTGTAAACAACGCGGTTAGGTGTACCTTACGCGTGCTAAGTGCGAACTAGCTTGTCTCCCTCGTAGGTACAGGTACATCCAAAGTTACTCTCTGGCTGGGTCACTATTGTGACGCACGCACGTGATTGGATTAAAACCAATCAAAGGTGAATTTGATCACCTAAACGAATGCTAGACGTTTGTAAGCAAAAGTCGATCGCGTTGCTCAAGTATACTGTACTATTTTATCTCCAATATTTACAGCATCATACTCCTTCTTCAGTGACTGCTGCTGTAATACAGTGTTTTGTAACTTGATTTGGTTTTCCGAACTGGATCACTTCTGTCAAAGAACGAGCGCCAGAGCTTGCTCCTCTATCCTACTATTGTTGATTTGTGATTGCCCAAACGAAAGCGTGGTTGCTAAATAACACTTCCCTTACATCATTGCTCCGTAATACCATACTTGTCATAGCTGGAATAGTGATATGATATGTCACCCAGGAATTTTGTCACTCGTTTCCAAGCCCATCCAAGTCACTTCAGCCATCCCTCGCTTTTTTGCACATCCGCCGCGGACGAACACCAGCTTCTTTAAGATCTTGAGATGATCAACCAGCGAGCAGTCGACCGTTAAGATGATCTGCACCACAAATCCGCGATTGTTCACAGATTAAACCACATGGAGAGCACCCCTTTGCCACTTCTACGACCATTCCATTAATCAAGATCCGCGGCTCCGTCTGTAGCATGACTAACTTGTTGCCGTCCGAGCTCAACACTCCATGGTTCACTATGGTCGACCACATGTCGCACCACTGCGTGCGCTTACAGCCTGTTTGTCGACCTTCCAAGATAAAAATAACCTAAAGAAAAGAGGATGCAAATATCAGCTTTCAGAGGACGGGTGTGAATATAAGGAAAAAGGGTGTTGGAAATGAGGATGCAAATATCAGCTTTCAGAGGACGGTTGTGAATTTAAGGAAAAAGGGTGTGAATCTATCGATTCCCTAATTGTAATATTCACAATAATAAGAGAAAGCCCAACGACTTGATCGACTTGGTGCTTGCATGCGCAACGAGGCGACGCGAGTGACACGACACTTGCTCGCTCTCGACGAGCGCATCAATCGATACGAATTAGGCCACCGATCACTTCACGACTCAGCAACTGGTCGAGCGGTTGGTTGTAGACGCCACGCGCCAGTTGATGGACCAACCGGCGCCACTGCAGCGGAAAATCCCGCCGCTGCGTGTGCCGTGGCTGCCCCACGAGCAGTTTGCCGCTACAAAAGTGGTGTGTAGCACAGAAGACGGCCTTGTCTCGAGCAGCAAAGGTTCGCTATTGAAAGTGGTCCAGGAGCTCAAGGTTTGTGATGTCTTTTATTATTTTTGTAGCTATTTTTATAGCTTCTAGTGTGATAAGTATTGTTACAATTGACTTGTGGTTATGTTTATTTTTACGTGTGCTCAATCTTGTTTCGGGTAGCGAGGACGTGCCAATGTGGACAAACAATTGAGTCAATTAGACGCGCAGCTCGTGGCTATTTCGGACTATCTCGATGGGAAAAGGAGTACCATGTTTCCGCCCAATGTGATCGTGTATATGGAGGAAACACAGGATACCGCAGTGTCGTCTACTGCAGAAGGAAGAAGATTGTGTGGAGCTGGGGCGGCTACGGGGACAGATCAGTTTAGTGGCGTCGTTGTCAATGGTGATTCATCGCCGCCGACACCTGCAGAGGTGGAAGACGACCTTCAGTCGGGTGAGAAAAAAAGCGAAATTGAGGCTGCTCGATGGTATACAGTCGTGCATACTGACATTATTGATGTGGGGGAGCAGAGACGCCGTGCACAACGACTGGGCTATGGAAGTATATGTATGCGTACTCGTTCTTCAAGACGATCACACCGGAATGCATGGATCAAGCGTTGCTACTCGAAGGTGCTGCTGAGTAGATGCAGATACTCTTGATGTGGTTGTCGATGGTGCTAACACTGTGTGTCCATGTCATGTGTCGCTTGCCATAGATTTGGACGCTTTTTTTGAAAACTTGGAATCCCGCAGCGCTGAAAAAGATGCGATCTCGATGGATCGAAAGGTTGAGCGGCTGGAGAGTAAATTCGATGAGAATGAGTGTGCTTCGCACGATCTTGACGAGTTTTTTATGGAGGTTTGTTATGTGGCGTTATGTAACTAGCGCAGTTTGCGATTCCGTATGTAACTGTGTGTGTCGTGCGATTGCCATCCGCAGAGACTTGTGGCTTCACTATGTGTAGTAGGTGCACCCGCATCAACGAACGCGAGCCACGAGGTATCTGTTTCTGAGCTGGATGACGAAGACAACCGCTTGTACGATACCACAGCAACCACATCGGATACGGAAATAAGGCATTCACGATGCTTGGCTGACGTACACTCACGAGGCCCTAAGGGTCTTACCCGGGTACTGCGTCATGTCGGATTGGCTGAAGGAAATGATGCAGAGATTGCTCAAGATAGTCTGTGCAACCCGATGGACGACGAGATCTCGCAAGAGATCCGTTCACTGCAGCGTCAACTAGAAACTTGCGTTAGAGAGACAAATGAATCCAAGCGGAAGCTGTGGAGAATCATGGACGAGTACGGCTGGTGTGCAAAATTTGCGAAGAGGTGCAATGCACTCACGTGTGTATGCTGCTTTGGTAGGACAAAGCCGTGGCTTTCGCAGGGAAAGGAGGAGGAGGAGACTACCATAAAGGAGTACATCACGATGTGGCGAACCAAGAAGGTAAGCCTGGTATCTTGCAATAGACTTGATGCTGGCTCAACACTGACGTTTGGTTTCGTTCCAGGAGCTTGCACGGAAAAAGAAACGCCGAGAGAAGAGGCTTCAGCGGCGACAAGGTGCGGTAACTTCTCGTATATCTTCCAGGCAGCAGTGGTGATGTCATAGTTAGTGACGTATCTGATTGTATGCAGCTTTTCGCCTTCACAACGGGGGCAACAGCAAGCCCCTGGTCAGCAATATCTACATCAAGCAACGATAGAGACCTCACGGCAATGGCGTTTGTGCTACACTGGTCTGGAGACCGGGGCACGATAGGCAGCATGTGGCGCATACGCACGCGTTATTTATTGGCATGCAGCAATGGGTTGGACTTTGTGCTGTACACATCATTTTGAGTTCGCCTTCCTGCTTCACTAGGAACTTTAATGGGCAAGATGGCTTCTTATGATGGATGATGTACTTGCTTAGATTGAATTTGTCAGACGCATTACTTGAGTGGGGGAAAATCGCCATCGACAAATTCGCTGTGAACCACTGCGCGAGGGCCAGCAGCATGGGGCGGCAGCTGTCGGCCACGCGGTGAAGGGTATCCATAACTACTGCGCCCCATTACCATGGACGGCGGCGGGTTCATCTGGTGGAGCTGAATCGGCTGCTGCGCTGCTGCTGCTGTGGATGGTACTGCTGGTGTGAAGACCTCTGGAAAAGGTTGATGTCTACTCTATTATTTGCGTAATCGGGTCCGCCAACGTGGTATCGACCACGTCCCGGCGAGACCATGGGCATCAGCGGTGGTGGGTGCAGCGATGGTGCACCGCCATTTTGTTGATGATGGTAGCCATAGAATCGATCGTGCGGCCTCTCTTGGAGTTCGCCATGTCCGAATCGTACACCACCTCCAAAGCGGTCACCATAAAATGGTAAATCACCTCCACTACCACTTCCGCTGGCTGCCCCACCACTAGAACGCGCACGGAACGCGTCGTGGTTGCGCGTAAAGTCCGGGTCGTTCAACTCTTGCTCGCGATTTCGCCACAATACCTTACTGCCTTTCCAGCTTGCTGCATTCGGAGCACTCGGCTGGACAGTCCGCGAATACTCATCGTTCATACCGTTGACATTCGACCGCCCCTTAGACGAGCTCGAGCCGCTTGTCGAAACTACATCATCTCCACCTTCACGAGCATCTCCTCGACCAAAACCTCGACTATCATCTGGTCCAGCTGCTTGCCGACTTCCATGTCTCGCCACATCATTCCCGTTGCTGGCAGCAATTCCACTGCCGTCATGCGTCGACGACGACGACGGCAACGACGGCACTACCGACTCTGCAGCTGTATTGTTGGTGGCTGCACCAAATATCCTGGCCCGTGCTTCAGCGTACGCTCGTTCACGGTCTTGTAACGACGGCATGGCTTTGTCAGTCCCGCTCCCGCCTCCATTATGACTGCCAAGTCTCGGTGCACAGCGTTTGCGCATCATGATTTTTGGAGCACAGACTGGTGTCTTGGTCGACGACTGCCGGTCTGTCGACAGATCAATCAGCAACAGACGAGGCACAACCGACTGAGTAGTTTTAATGAGCGTCACGACTCGCGCCGAGCTGTTCTCCAACGGACTATAGTCGGCTGTCTGGTGTTCCAAGCCGCAGCGTTGCGCCAAGCGATGGACAATGAGTCGATGGTACGACGACAAGGGGGGAAAGTGGAGATGCGGCTCTCTCGAGTGCCGTAGAAAGCGCACAATCTGGTCTTCAAACTGGAGCAACGTCATGCGCTCGCGCGCGTTTTCCAGTCCCGTAATGAGCACGGGATCCAGCTGTTCGTCCTGCTTGGTGTCATCTGTGACAATGGTAGAAGTGACTGGTAGTTTGTATGGACCTGGCGATTCGTGGTCATGGGGGTAATGGCCTCCAGTATCAGAAGCGGCAGGCGGCGGGAGGATACAAAGGTCTTGCAGGACTTGAGCGGCTTCCTCCACGTCGGTAGAAGCGGGAGACGAGGCAGGAGCAAGTGCGACTTGGTTGTGCGTGGGCGTGACGTCCAGAACCGCGCTCTCCCACTCGTCACAGGCGTCTCGAGACGGGTGGATCATGGCGTGGCGTCGCTTGGATGCCAATGAGAATGGAGACACGTGATTGGGCAAAAGCCAGACGAGAAGTGAGGAGCTCTTGTCGGTGGTGGGGCGATTTGAGACCTGTGGTAGTGCATTAGGTATGCGGTTCGACGAGGAGTATCGATCGATCTATTGACACGGGACGATTCGGTTTCGGACACTCGCAGCTGCTGCTTTGCTGTTGCTTGATATTTGTGACGATCGAGTTGTGGGCTAAGACAGAGAGTCGTGTGAGATGACTAATAAGAGGATCGGTGTCAGGAAGACAAAGTTGCAGCAGACAGAGGTTGTGACCCGTTTAGGTCGTCGTTCGAAACATGTGGACGCTGCTGATTGTATACGCAGTGGTAAAGAGGAGGTGTATACAAGCAGCGGCCATTACCTCTCATAGTTAGTCCCCACCGCTTTTTCGAGCAGCATAGTTGGGCTAAAACGTTAGTCTTTGCGTCGCCTGGCTTTGTTGGCTTATCTATAAAGACGAGGCGATACACAGTTTCGCAGAACTCTGAGCATGTCAATGACCTGGCACACGTTCGAGCCCTTCTTGATTACTCACATCGTCAAGGCCCACCGTATGCTCTGCCATCTCAATCGCGTCGTTCGTTCCCTCTTTCCAGCATTTCGTCAAAAGAACATCACCTGCTTTGCTTCCATTATTCGGGTGGTCAGGATCACGCAGAAGCGCTGTATCGACACACGTTACACCCATATGAAACTCGACGATGACGATAACACCTGCTTGTGCGACAGATCTGCTGTCAGGAATTACGACTCGGCGCGTCGCTTACCTTTTTTCGTAAAAGCTCGTTGACCAATCGCCACGAATTTGCCCAGCTTGTCTCCTGCGGGAGTAGAGGGATAGCCGCCATCCCCTTCAATATTGCATGGGGCTGACAGTTTCCCATGTCAGTGTCGAGCTGACCTGCTGCACCCGGTTTCGCGATCAACTCGTGGCTGTGATGTTGCACTCATAATTAGCAGGAGAGAAGCTGGCCTTGCCAATTTGCACCACGTGGTGGTCAGGCAGGCATAGAATGGTCAAATTCGCTCGAATGTTGCTGCTGAGTGCGGCCACCCTTCCGTCTCGGGGTGACGAGCGTCTCGGTCCGTCACAGAAGCGAGGGGAAGTCAGTGAAGGGATTTCTACGTAAACTTTAAATAATCGGATCTTACTCGAGGTTAGGACACGAAGTTCGATAGATGCAGTCGGTCACACAACAGCAGCAAAATGGAGACGACTTCGGCTGGCAGGGTTAGGGAAGCTACAAACGTTCTTGAGTCCAGTCTGTTCTGGCCCGAAAATCGTCGACTCGAGCAGCAGCTGGATATCCATCCTCCTTGTCTCCTCCCTCTCTCTATAAAGGGAATGTCACATGCAGCGAGTTCTCGCTCCGAATGCAAATATCGCTTTCTCTCGAGCCCCAAAATACATAGATCTCCCTTCTACTGTCCATTACTGGCTCTTCACGCGACTTCCTTGAAAGATGGATGCTGCGCGACCAGTCAGCGAGAAGAAAAAAGAACGAAAACTCGAATAAAGAACACGCCTCGCAGCCACTCTTGGCGCCCACTGACTGGCTTGATTCCTGTATTGACAACCAGGATCCCGCTGCATCTTTCCCCGTTTCTGCAATCCAAGGACGACATGTCGCACACAACAGTCTCGCCAATAAAACCTCGCTCCCGCCCTCTCTCTCTCTCTCTTTCGCTCCGATGTACGTACAGTCCATAACGCGTCGACGTCATCAAATTGTGTTCCCACGTTCGCTCCGCCAGCAAAAAAAAGCCAGGCGCTTTGTTTTCTCCAGCAGACGAGACACGCTTCCTGCTGCTGCTTTCTCCCGCCTTCTCGCATCGTTCGCTCTTTTTCCATCCATCGACCACTTCGCGATTGTCCGCCACCACGACCAGCCGCACGAAAAAAGCACAACCACCACAATAAAAAAGCACAACTGCCATCCCCAAAACTCACGTCCTCTCCGACGGACCACTTTTTATCACAAATAGCTTTTTTTTTCTCTCGACCCAAGTCATGCTCGCGTCGCTCTCGGACCTGCTCGTCTGGAAGACCAAGCAAGCCACCAGCTCCAGCTCCAGCTCCAGCTCTTCCTCCTCCTGTGCACCCTCCAAGCGCCTCCACAAGCACGTCAAGCACAAGCGCGCGCCCACTGCCACGTTCTCCGACCTCGGCGAGTCCAGCGACGAGTCCGAGACCGAGAGCGTCGCAGCGCCCCGGACGCCGGAAGATGTGCCAGTACGGAAGCTGCAGCCGCCGCACGGACGTGAAGGGAAGCAGGAGACTGGAGACAAGGAGCTCCTGGGCGGGGTGGACGCACGTGTCGACGGCTTTTGGTCTCGGGACGGTCGTGGCTGTGCGCAAGGAAGACGGTGTGGTTGCTATCGATTTGCAGCAAGGGTCTGGACTGTTTTACCTGGCGAGTTGGAAGCAGCAGCAGGTGGAGGTAGTTCCTGCACTTGTTGGGGACCATATTGAGACGGTATTGGGACGAGGATGTGTGGTGCAGTACAAGGCTCTGGAGGAGGTGTACGTGCTGAGACGAGGGGAAGCTAGTGGTGAGGAGGAAGGTTGGTTGTTCCAAGTCTCGGTACGGGATGTGGTCATGCAGGATGGACGGACGTTTGGACGACGGTGGGAGTCGTTAGAGCGGTCGCGGAGCTTGTCGGAAAGCAGCACGAGCAGTGAAGACGGCGACTTGAGACGCCGCACTCGTCCAAGGCTTTCCAGTACGAGCTCTTTGAACGGGTTGACGCTGCTGAAAAGCATTGCATCGACGTCGTATACGTTTATTGCAAGCAAGTACCTGCAGGGACAGCCCGTGATTACCAAGTTTGGTGCAGGACATATTGTTGCCGTGGATCCACAGCGAGGGTCGGCACAGATTCAGCTCGTGTGGGGCGCCGCGGCGTTCCTGAACGCTGACATGATTGACTTTTACCCCAAGGCTCTAGAGGGCACTGACGTGCACACGAAGTTTGGCTCGGGGATTGTGATTGGCCTTCGACCAGCGGATGCGATTTATACCGTCCGGTTGCATGACGTGCAGCCTGTAGGGAAGTCGGATGTGGTTTTTGTGCATGAGTCGGACTTGCACCGGAGTCGGAAGATTGCAGTCACGGCTGCAAACGTCCGAGACAGATTGAAAGCAATGGCACATCGTTGTTTCGGTGAACGCATCGTTGTCGCGCACCAGAGCCACGATGAAGAGCCAAATTCGGCCGGTATTTAAGTCGTCCAGTCTGATTTATGATGCGATCAGCGCTGACATCGGTAGGGGTCATGTTTTAGTGACAAAGACGACGAGCAAGGGCGTTTCGAGGTCGTATGCGTGTTGACTCTGTTGTGGTGAGTATAAAATTAATTTCCTGCAGACGCTACGCGTACCGGATGCAGCTGAGCTGCTATGATAAGGAGCCGACTAGTGGGTGCATTGCCGACGAAGCAAACAAAATCGATCGACGATACCTATATAAGTGGCTGCCTAGTCAATGAGGTACAGATAAAGTGGCAACAATACATGTCGCTACGTCGCAATGGGAGACAAGCGAACGACAATAAGTGTGTGGGCCTGGGTTTTGCGATGCTGGGGACTTTTGTGATTGCAAGTATGATGTGACGATGGCAGTCATGTCGATTCATCGTGCTGGTGGTATTTCCCCGTGTTGCTGTGGGCTCCGTTGCAGTTTTTCCCTGATGCTGCGTTATGGTAAACGCAGTCTGTGCTCGTTTTTGTAGGGAATTCGCGTCCGTCATCGACGTCGCAATGTTCACGATCGAAGCTGCTTATCGTGGTTTCAAACGACTCTTCAGGATTCCAGCACAATACAGAAGTCAACGCTATCGCCTCTAGGCTGGTCCCTTCGTTGGTACGTGATCGTCAGTCGATAATGTCGGGCATTTAGATCCGGTGACTTGTTCGTAGCTAGCGACTGCACACCGAACTGTTGTCGAAGAGATTTGGGACCGAACTGAGAAACGGCGTTACCTACGATGGTAAAATATGCGCTGAGCAGCTACAGCTTTGGATTCTGTTGATCACGCGGCGTCGTGAACAGCCCTGAGCAGTATTTGTTTCGATCACGGCGACTGGTATAAACCGGATGAGAAGTGCGATGCGGAATAACCAGCATACATGACAAGTTGTGATCAATCTGCTTGCCAAACAAAGGATTGATTGTCACGAGTTGAGCTCCATCCAGAGGTCCGTCGGTTAGATCAAGGCGGTGTTCCGACAGCATGAACAGCTCCAAGTCGTGCCGTCTCCGTGTCTCGCCATGCTAGTAGTGAGACAGGGATGCAGCAGCACACGATGGGTTTTGACACCACCGCACGGGTCACACAGTCGTTATCTATACAGTGGGAGCAAGCAGAGGGTCACTGTTGGTCAATCGTCCATCAGTCGCTTTGCAGGCTTTGAAAGCTTGCTGCAGGTCTTTCGTCACAGCTGCGCAAAGCACAGCTCAAATGCAGGGAGTAAAAGAATAACAAGATGATCGAATGCCAGTCGCTACCAATAGTAGCGCTACCTTTCCGCCATTCCGATATTGGCTCTTGCCGTCCACACCTCGGTGTCTAGTTGATCACAACACAAACACATTTGCGGTCAATTTAGTACTACAAATGCTGTCGTTCTCGATTGATTCGCTCGGCCCGTGACGCTGCAATGCATTTCAAATAAACTGCCAAAGACGGTAGCATTCTCTCAGAGTCGACGAAAAAATTCCAAAAGCTCATATTGCATCAGGCATCCCGCGATATACCGAGCGGCATCGAACACATGAAGCGTCGCTGAATACGCCTTCACTTCTGGACTGTCTGCAAAGCTCCTGTATCCACCTTGCTCCAGAAACACCATCCATTGCGCGCGACTGAAAACAAACTGTCAGTCACACATGCGGCACAATGTTAGGTGTACTTGACACCACCCATGAACGTTCTCGGGTCGGGCGCTGCACCACTAAACTCGGCATTCGAGAAGTCAAGACCCGGATTCTCTTCCTGGAAACGCTCCAGCATCATTTTCTGTTTCGTGCTTTCCTGCTGCATCAGATCCAACTGCACCCACGCAAAAACAGCGTGTCGGTAGAAAGCATACAACATCCTAACATGACGATTCCAACAGGACTCAAAGACATTGAACCACCAACCTCTCCGTGTCCAACGAAGACGCTCGGCCAAATGAACCCCTTTTTCATCTTCTGGAGGTTGATGTTTAGCTCTCCCGCGTCTACAACAAACCAAAACCAATCCATGAGATCCCTCTTCCATCCTCTCCACTCCAGCAAACATACACCTGGCAACAATAATAACAATAATAACAATCACAATAATATTGCTGTATACGTATAATCAGCCAGCCACAACCGGTCCACTCACCCAGCATCCAGTAGCTCTCTGCCACAACCACAGAGCTCGCCAGATCGTGCTATGCCGGCCAAACACCACATTAGAAAACCACCTTGAGTCAGTCAGTGGCAAATGTCTCATAAGTGCCCACGCACGCACGTTGATAAACTTGTCCGAGACGCCACGGAGGCCCAAGGTCACGTGGTTCACACTAATCTCGCATTGAATTTGTGGCGCTGTCACGCCTTCAGGAGGTGTAATAAAGACGTTCACCTCCTCTAGCGACTGCTCCCACTCGTAGATCACGCGATCTGCCGTAGGATCCAATACAGTTGTCCACAATGTGAGTTACAGAGTGTATACAACAACCAGCAGTGTATAGTCGCGGAATCGCGTACCGCCGAATTTGTATACGCGACGCTGGCTCACGGTCGCCATGGAATCAGATCGACACTGGATGTTGAGGCGCTTGGCTTGGCGCGAGATGGCGTAAGTGATGACGGCGTTATGACTACTTGGGGGATTGTCGAGGATTGAGGTTTGCTTGCGCAGTGACATGTATTTCGAAAATATTATTTTTATCTATTATAGCAGAATTTAGTTTTGATTTAGGGTCTCATTGGTTTGCATACGGATCACTCGGTGGCTTTTGCTCGGCTCCAGTTCTTTGTTGTGCGTACATTGGCACATAACTTTGCACGATGAGGAGCTGGAGACTTTCTGTCAGTACACTTTTACGTTTCGACTCTTGTCTTTATTCCCTTTGTGTTTTACCGCCGTGATTGTTGAAAGTAAATTCCAAGGAAAAAGCAGCAAAGGTGGCTTTTGCTCCGCTCCAGTTCATTGTTGTGCGTACACTGGCACATAACTTTGCACGATGAGGAGCTGGAGACTTTCTGTCAGTACACTTTTACGTTTCGACTCTTGTCTTGATTCCTGTGTTTTACCGCCGTGATTGTTGTGAAGTAAGTTCCAAGGAAAAAAGCAGCAAACAGTGCCGACGTTTCGTCAACACCTTGTGACAACTTCACACCATCGCGATAACAACACAAGCACTAGGCGAGACTGTGACTGTACAGATCGAGTGTTATTGTTTGCATCACTGGTAAACAAAACACTGCGATCGAATCAGGAGACCGCTATGCAAAGGGCAGACACCCACGCGTCGACTTCCAACGGTTCTTCGCAGCGCCCAGAGTCCCTCAACTCACGTTGCCGCGACCATAGGTGCCCTCAGGACACTTGTACTCGTCAGGAAGCAGAGACCGCTGCAACGAGTTGAACGCGTACTGACGCTTGCCAGTGTTTTTCAGAGCGTTCTCCAGGCGCACGCCATTGCTGCGCATCGTTGACACGGTGCGGACCACAAACTCCTCAGGCAAGCCGTGGTTTTCACTCAGCAGTCGCACCTGCTCGAGCGTCACCGACATGCCCGTGCGGTCCTTGGCACTCTTGCAAGACGTTGCGCGCCCAGCGCCTAGTAGTCGGCACAAGTGGGAGCTCTCCTGAACGATCTGCGGATGCTTCGATTTGACTACTTGCCGTTTACTCGCAGTGGCAATGCGCTCTTCCAGCGAGTTTAGCAGAGGCTCAATGGTCGATATGGGCGTCAGCATTGCGTCCGGCTGCAGTTTCCATCCATTCACAAACCAGTCAACAAACATCAAACTAGAGCCTCGTGAACAACGTCAGGCGTACGTACCAAATTCGCAGCAAACGCCTTGTACTTCTCAACGTAGCGTGACAACACGAAAAGGCTCTTGCGGTTGATGACATCTTGCAGCGTTGTCTTCTTGCTGCTGGCGTTGTTTGCCAGCGTCTGCATTTCATTGATACCTTGTGTGAAGATGACTGGCGTGACAGAAATCGGGCCTCCTGATCGAATGGTGGGTGGAATCGAGGCTCGCACGTCGTCCGAGCAACGTACACCAATTGTGACGGTAAACATCCCCATTGTAGACCCCTTACTCAACCTAACGGAGACAACGCTTGGAAGCGTGGTGTTCGTCATGTGAAGATTGAGCAATGTTGATGGAAGGTGCGATGGAGGCGATGCATCGAGGACAAACGTAACGTGCTTCAGTGCATCAACGGCTGCCGAAAAGTCTTCTAGCATTCCAATCTCCTTGCCTTGTGTAGACAGCAATGACTCGACCTGAAACAGAAAGCCAATGGCGTTGATCGTGTGCAGGAACGAACGATCCACTGGGTGCTGCAACGAACACTCCAGCTGACGACAAAAAGACGTAACCAGCGTTGTCACTGCTTGCGAAAAGCACATATCAAATCGAGTCGTGAGATGCCATCGTGTCTCGTCGGCAGCACGTACATCAGCGCCACTCCAGTCCACCACATTGGTGCCACTGGTATCCGAGACATTGCTCTGCACGCGCGATAGTGATCGTTTCTGCAACGCCGAACGCAAACTAAGAATGCTTCCGCCATGACGGAACTTGAAGCAGTGCGCAGCAAATGCACCCACAGTTACGGTCGGGTACACCCTAACATTTGTCGACGTCCTTCTCGATTGCTGGGAGCGTAGGTCGGCACTCGGGCCGACCCACATGTCCTGCACGTGCAGATTGATAGGCAGGAATCGCAGCACCAGACTCTTTTTCTCAGTACTGGCCTTAAAATTGAGCCCCTTTTCGGCACGGTCGATGCATAATTGGTGACACTCACGCAATGCCTCGACATACATCTTGCGTTGTTGCACGCGGTGGTGCAGCCACGTTTGCACCAACGTCCGGTCATTCTCACCCTGTATCTGCTCAATCAAGTTATCGTACAAATTACCGACAAGTCCACTCTTCACTCTTGCCTCAAAGTCTGTAGCGTCCGCTTGTGCGCGCGCAAAATCGTCAGCCCGCTCGGACACAAGCAGCTCCAGATACTGTCGAGGCACTTCGTTTGTGAGAGGACTTTCGAGCATGTCTTCAATCACCATCTCGTCGCCTTCCGCGAACTGGAAACTTTTGGTGATGTAGAATCCAGAGTTCTCCTTCAATTGGCGAGGCGATGAAGTCATCGACTTGACCCGCAAGCAAGGCACCGATGGGTCCACTCCTGGGGCAGAAGTCCCAGTGGCTGCTGCTGAATTTAGCGACTCAGTACGAGCTTCGTCCTGTAGAACGGCTATACTAGACGAAGCGGAGCGATGCGAAATCTGTCGTGCCACTAGATTCACTTCGTCTGCCGCGAGAATGTCATCACGCGTACACGAGAAGTCACAGAAAACTTTAGGTCGTGAGGATGGCGCCATACCCATTCCGGACACACAAGCGATTCTAGCACGTTCGTCCAGCTGTAGGGAAGATGCACGCATCACTTGATGCGACTCGGAGCACAAGTCATCATTGGACAACTGCAAGGAAGTCTTCTCCGGGATCTCGTATACCACAAAGCGAAGAAGGGAATTGGCGTGCATTGCAGGTATCTGAAGTATCGACAGGAAAGTGGCAACTTGGGTCACTGCACCACTATTCTCAACGTTGCCAGTCACTAGTGTCGGTAAAACCGTCTCGGTGAAGCCCACACGAGACCACTTCGCTACTGGAACAGAAACGTACGAAGGCATGGGTACGGCCCCAGGGCCGAGCAGCGATTGGGAATAACTACGACGACTGAAGATGCCTTCTTGGTGTATCCCACTTTCAATAAAAGAGCTGATCGAAGAACGACGATAATTCATTATTGGAAGATCCTCGTGGTATTCGTCCTCACCAACGTCGTTGCCGCTGGCCTCTGGTGTAGTGTTTTCCGCAACATATAGCTCAACGAAGCACGCGTGCGTAAGAGGAACAGGTGACAACAGCTGGACTGCTAGCGCCAGCACATTCTGCGCACCATCTACATTCTCCTGGCTCGTTGGATTGTACTCGGTGTCAGGAAAATGTAAAATGCCTGTCCAACCATCGCTAAGCCCTGTGTCGTTTGCTGACATGGCAATCTTGCCACTTTCAGCCTTCTCCGAGATGCTTGACATCGCACGATGTAGCACCTCTGGATCCTTAACATGTGACGATGGGCTCCAATTCATCCCACGCAGTCGTGGATTCCACTGTAAAAGCAAAAAGCCAATCGGAGGTACCAGGGTCGGAAGCCAAATGGAGAAAATGTACCAAACGACGGAGTCCATACTCCAACTGTTCCAGTGCAGAATGAAGTTCACGATGGTGGACGTCCCGAGCACGAGCGCAATCGATAGTATCACCACCAAGTATGTAATCAAAGACTTCTTCATCACTTTCACCACGTGATCATCGAATATGTCACCGGATTGATCAATTAGCCGCACGCCTCGTTGGATCACGAACGCACCGAGTACAAGCAATGCTACCGAGGCAAGGAAGATCAACAACACGCCACTCTGTTGGAGAGGGAAAAACCAAGCAGAGTAACTGACATCTTTGCATACGTTGTCCACCGCATACCGCCACTGTCTAGGTTGTAGATCAGGGCAGTAATCATTCGAGCACAGTCGCATCATATAAACAGGGTTCTTGAGATAGTCGTCGTAGGTGCACTTGTAGAAATCCGTAAGACTTACGACGCCAAAAAGTTGGATACCGTAGAACATCACATTCATGACCACGTAGATGGTGAACATCAACAAACGACCAGACGGCCCCACGTCGTGGAACAGCACCGTGCCCCAATGAAAGCATACTGAAGTCATCATCGTCCACGTAAAGCACGTAGCAATCGTGAACAGCAAGTAGTAAACAGCGGTTCCTCTCGCTGAAGACGCATTTGTAGCCACTCGAATCCAAATCGCGTTGCCAACGATACAAAGAACGAAAATCATCATCACAGACAGCGATGTCATGTCGTTGTAAAACGTCAATTTCGAAAACGAGATACCATTCTACCAGCAGAATACGAGGATTAGTTAGTCATCAGAATCACATGACGAAGCGACAGGCGTAAGGATTTACCATTCGTGTAATTAGAACCGCGCCAGCCAGAGCAACAGCAAAAAATGTGATCGACATCACGCTGTACACACTCAGGTTGTACTTCGAGTCTATACCAACAAATCCAAAAAAACGAGTAAGCACGTACGTCTTCGTACAAATGGTAAGATGAATCATACACGTACGTGTTTTCGCGTGTACCAGTGTCTGAGCACAGTCAGTTGCCAGCACGCCACTGTCATCCATCAAAACGACTTCACCAAGAGGAGGCAGATTAAATCCGTTTGCGTTACCACCCTTCTGATTCTCATCGCCAGTCCAGTCGACATGAGTCATTTGAATCTGAAACGTAAACGTCCTCCTTATCTCCCAAGATTCGTTCCTTTTGACACCAGAAGGAAGAAGATCTGTCACGCAGAAATAGGTAGAATTTTCGCTCTGGACATTAAGTCTTGTGTCGCCCGGACCAGCGTATAAATTGATGAATGGATTGCCACCTTTGACATACGACGCCGTCGAAGACGTTTCAAAAGCCACAGTGGATGTGGGCTCACGCCCTTTACTGGCACAACTTGAGGAACGCAAATTAACGCATACCTTTGGGTTATTCGATCCGGGGCCAACGATGGTGGACGTTGAGAAAGACAGCATCATTATTTCCGTATCCTCTTCCATCCACAACAGGGACGAATCCAGCCGGCCTCTCTGGACCGAGGGCAACGCCATTGTAGCAAGAGTAAACGCGCCTAAACCCGGAGATAAAGCAGCAGAGTCAGCAGGAGCGACCGTCAATTTACGCATCCGTCGGGAAGCAGGAGCAGACATAAGAGTCCCAGATGAAGTCTCATAGGATAGCGACACGCTCACACCCGCTGAGCCACCGGGTGCGCTAGTGCACGCACCCGTGATAATGCTTTCCGAAAGTACGAATGACATCGGGCCTCCAGAGCTTGATCTCATCAAATCCGTTCGGTCTTCAAGTAGATCCATGACATCGACAAAGCCGTACCGATGTGTATCGGCGTCACAATTCTTATCGTTCGTTACGTCGAAGCAGCTGTACACGCGTACAGAGGAAACAATGTCATTGTTGCCTATTCGCAGGGTCACCTTTACTGCAGTGCGTTCCCATGCAACAAATCTCCAGCCACTCGGTAGCGAGATAGTGATCCACCAGTTACTTTTGCGGGTCATCGGATCCTCTTCGCCCAAGTTAAAGAATGCTCCAACGATATCGGCCGCCAAAAGCGTAAACGTTGCTTCTGCAACACTGTAAGGAGTGGCAGACGATGTCGACACCTTATAAGAATCCGTTGACACGCACGTCTTGTATCCTGATGGACACGAGCTACCAAAAAGTCTATGTTCGCACGTTGGTCTGCTAGAGTCCCCAGGGTACATGTTCTGACACTCCGATGCCTTACATCGACAGTAAGTCGAGGTGTAAGGCACGTGTTGCTCGCTGCCATTCCGCTACAAGAGCAAATAGAGGAGCACATCAGTCAATTCAAGCAAACAAGGTATTGCCACAAAGTCAAATCGAAAGCAGTAACGCAACGAACCCATCTTTCGCTTCCGGTCTTTGGCTCACTCAAAGAAATGCTCTGCTCAGCGAGAGATAATACCTCAACGACTTCGTTGCGATCTCCATAGGATCCCAACTTTGTAACGTTGGCCGTAGATGATGCCTCTTCTGGCACTGCGAGATTTTCGTTAAATACTGTCAACTTGTCATCTGCCGTGCGCGCAAGAACTTTCGGTCGAGCAAGGACCGACTTGCTCGCGCATGGTGCAGTCCTCATATCATCAGTGAGCGAAGGCTCTTCAATACAACCGGATGACGCGTTATTCACCGTCGAAGCGTTATCTTCAACATATCCAACAACAACACGAATGCTACTGGACTTTTCAAACTCCTCTAGATTCAAAGGACTTGCAGTAACCTGGGCAACTTGGTCGATACCAGGAGAGCCGGTGGGATCCAGTGAGCTAGAGTCGGGGTGAGCTACTAGAGAACCCATTGAAGTATCAACATCCAACGAGCTGGTGGCGATACGGCTACCTGGAGAGGCCGCAGAAATCTCAATGTCCGGTAAACCCGATTCAACGTAGGTAGAGTCGAACTCAGCACATGCATCACGATCCTTATCCCCGGTATCATGACGACTCTTGTGAGAATCGACAGTGACATCAGAGCCACTGATACTCGGGGTGGTACGAACATCTTCAAAATCAGCCGCCACATTCAAGTCAATGGAACCAACAGAGATCTTCAGTCCATGTGACCTCGCGTGGGTGTCAGTGCCCTTTCGTTCTACCGTTGCACTAACATCTTCAGAGCCTGCTGGTGTACTAAGCTCCGTCAAGCCCAGTCCTGTCGAAACGATAGTATCTTTTGATCTAGCCAAAATACCCGCAGAGCCTGCTACGCCGTCGTCAATGCCTCCAGCACCAACAACGACACCGATTGGTGCAGAAGTCATTTTCAGCCCAGCCGTTTGGCGCTCTGATTCAAACTCCTCGTTCGCATTTTCTACCACACGAGAATCTGCACCTTTGTCAACACCTTGACCGCCATCTTTTACTTGTAAACTCTCCTCCTTCTCCACGTCATCGGCACATTTTATAAACTCAGGAGAGGTCTCTCTTTCCAGTATGCCCTTGAATCGAATAAAACCCTTATCACCATCTCGTGCAACGCCTCCCTTGTCGACTCCCGTCGGATGCAGGTACTGCGCCTTCTTGTCCTGCTTTTCCACGGCCGCAATTGGAGGCACCGAGTCGATAACATCTGCCAAGTGTCACCAAAAGGTCAAAAACAATTCAGAAATATGAGGAAACATATCGGGAAAAAAACAGACTCGTCAAAAAGGACAGTACGCGTACCCCTAGCCGCGACTGGAGCCGCGAGGTGCAGTCCTAATGCGGATAGGAGTAGTAGAAACAGCGCTACTGCGTCCATGGACGTCCCGCCACGCCGCACGAGTTGACACTATGTGGAGACAGACACAATCAGAGAGAGAGAGGGAGGGAGAGAGAGAGGGCGTGAGAAGACGAGGAGCGTCGACGTACCCGCATGAAGAGCCGATCAGCAGTGCGCACTTCTGTCGTCGTAATGGATTGTGAGGGCACGAGGGGTAGGGCAACTGGACGAGGTGACGATAGACTTGGGCATATGTGAATTTGTGACATACAAAATCCTCACTCGACAGTGCGTTTGGGTTCTCGACACAAAAACCATGTGGCAAATAAAGGGACCACACCAGATGGCGGATTTGGTCCGATCAAAACGTTCCAGCTTTGACTTCCAGATCGGCAGACAGAGACCGTCTACTTGGGTGATGGCCAGGGATTACGTCAACATGGCTTGCTGGGACTACCGCAGTGGTCACAGGACTCTTAGCCAAGCGTCCTCTGTTACCTGAATTAAATTGCTCCGAGCGTAACAACAGCCTCGCTATCTGGTAGAGTGCACACAAGAACCTGACCCCGGACTTGGTCAACGGATGGTTTCCACGGGCCCTTTTGGGAGTGTACCTGATTGTATTCCGCCTCTTCGTGCTAAAAGCTAGTTAGCCATGCAGCTACAGGTTCACATGACCGACCACGGAGACGTTCCGATACGCAGTGTCATTTGACAGTTCATGCCTGATTCCCATAGCAGTAGCCACTACTGGTCTGTACTAATCGATGCATGCGCTACAGCATGTGGCTATTATCGTATGCAGGTTGCATGCTAGCTGAGGCAACTCCCAGACAGCAGCAGCAGCAGCATCGATAGGGTATCCAGTAGATGACCACACAAGTACTTCCTGCAATCGATTCATCTCGTGGCAGCTTGTCATTCGTATGAACTAATGGGATTGACTACAACCCATGTACCTCTTTTTGTTCCCATACCTGTGAAATGCAAAAAGAAGTCCATGACGAAAAAGATCGAACGCTATACACGTGACTTAGAGTTCGTTCCAAAGAGCTCTTTTTTCAATGTGAGATACGACACCAGGTCGCTCACTAAGATAGTCAAAAGAAGGTAGTCAGAACCAAGAACAGCTGGTTCATGTGCACCACACAAGTAGTAATGTCCATTCGATTGCATGAACCCATCAACAAGTGCACCCATGACGACGCAAGTGGATGACGCGAACGACGGAGACGTCGAGAAGCTCGTGCGGGAGGCGCCCAAGCGCTTAGGTCAGACGGAGAGGCGTAACAAGCCCAAGCAGCAGGAGAAGGTCAAGCATGTGGCCAAGTACACGCGCAGTGGCGCCATCTCGCAGCGTCGCATCCGCACCATCCGGGACAAGAAGTTGAAGGGCTCGTTACAACGCGCTCATGAGAAGCACCAGCTGGCAGCCGAGTCAGCTGCCAAGTCGGAGATCTTACTGCCTGACCAGGCTGGATTTCTCGAAGCTGAAGGACTTGAGAAGACGTACAAGTTCACTCAGAAGCAGCTCGCTGACAACGTGGACCTCAATACAGCGCGCAAGATCTTTAGCTTGGACTTGCCAGACTATGGCTCGTACCGCGTCAAATATACGCGCAACGGACGGAATATGCTGCTGGGGAGCCAGAAGGGCCACTTGGCGCAGCTGGACACGCTGCGCATGAAACTCACGTGTGAGTTTCAGGCCAACGGCTTGGTGCGCGACGTTACTTTCTTGCACAACGACTCGCTGTTTGCAGCAGCACAGAAAAAGCACGCGTTCATTTACGATAACACGGGTGCGGAGGCCCATTGTATCCGCACGATCCCCGAGCCGCGACGGATGGAGTTTCTGCCTTACCACTTTTTGCTCTCGACCGTGAGTGGCAACGGATTGCTGAGCTACCACGATGTGACAGAAGGAAAGCAGGTGTCGACGCACCGAACGAAACAGGGACTGTGTGACACAATGGCGTTGAACCCGTGGAACGCCGTTGTGAACCTTGGTCATGCAAGTGGAATTGTAACGCTGTGGACGCCAAACATGTCGGATGCTGTCGTCAAGATGCAGTGCCATCAGGGACCGAGTACGTTGGCTATTGTTGTCGCTGCTTCTGTTAGTGTACTCTTTGCTGACACTTGATTGATCGATTGTACTGGTTTTGGTTTGCCAGCTCGCTCCATGAGCATTGACAGCAGTGGAAAGTATCTTGTTACCGCTGGTGCTGACAGGAAAGTGAAGGTGTTTGACCTGCGCAAGTATCAAGAGCTGAACAGCTACTATTTGTCAGCGGCAGCTAACACGATGAGTGTGAGTCAGCGTGGACTTGTAGCAGTAGGCTTTGGCCCGAACGTACATGTGCTCAAGAATGCTTTCACGTCAAGCTCTCCGATCAGGCCATACATGACGTACCAGATTCCAGGCTCAATGGTCAGCTCGATAGCATTCCGCCCGTTTGAAGATGTGCTGGCTGTCGGACATGCCACAGGCTTGAACTCTGTGGTGATTCCTGGTTCAGGTGAGCCAAACTTCGATACGTACGAGGCGAACCCGTTTGAGAATCACAAGCAGCGTGATGAGTCGGAGGTGCGGTCACTGCTGGAGAAGATCCGTCCGGAGATGATCACATTGGATCCGAATGCCATCGGCCGTGTGGACATGGACCCAGCTCAGGAGCAAGAAAACAAGATCTACCAGATGAAGCGTGCGAATGGTAGTGATAGTATCAAGAAACCGAAGAAGAAAATGCGCGGTAAGAACCGTCCGTCGCGGCGATTGCGCAAAAAGCAGCAAAATGTTGTCGACGCCCAGAAACAACAGTACCGCGAGCAATTGGCCAGCAAGCAAAAGCGCGCATACCGACAGGAGCAGCAGCGCGAATGGGACGGAAAAGCTGAGAGTGCGCCTACAGCGCTCAATCGGTTCTTCAAGAAATAGGTACATATCATAGTAGTCGCTTTCATTGACAAATCCGCTGCTCGAACTGTGTCCTTCTTCTACCTGTCTGTTGTCATGTTCGCATGCTAGAAGAACTGCAACAAACAAAGTGAACAGCGGCCTCACATTATAGTTACACGACATCACCATGTACGACCAAAGACAAGACCTTTATTGCGCCATCAATTGAGCTGAGTTCTACTCACCCGGTAATTCAAAAAGTAGTAGATCACGCGAGGTAGCGATAGGTGTTGGCTTGATCGGGATCGCGCTCGAGATACTCTCGGTCGATGAGTGCCTCAATACGGCGCTTGATGACCTTCAAATTCGGCTTGAAAAAAGCTAGCTGACTCAGCACTTCCGAGATCAACTGCTGATGCTGAAGCGTTTTGCGCGCCTTCATGATACGCACGATCGCGGCCTCTATAGCTATGCTGCGGTCTTCCTCCACGTTCTTTTGGCTGTGACTTTCTTCCAGCGAAGCCATCGGGATTCGTAGCTTGCGCATCGGCGACGTAAACGTTTGGTTCACACTAAACTCGTCGCTAGTCGAAACAGTCTTACCAGCAGGCGTCTTTGTCAACAACTTGTACTTGCCACACGACAGTGAGTGCATGATACGCTTCACGACATCCACACTCAAATTCAATGACTCGCGCACGGCTTCAAACGACAGCGCACCGTTGCCCTCGTTAAACAGTAGCATCGCCACGGCCTGTAACGTCGTCACCTGTAGATCATACCACTTCTTCGTTGGGAAGTTGGCACGAATCGTTGCGTTGCCAAGCGAATGCACCCACTGCAGTCGACGGTGGCTTGTTTTTGAATCATAGTACACCTTAAATAGATTCATACAACGCACCATTAGCGGTGGCATGGTGACTTCCAAGATGCGGTATGACGGCCAGTAGCCCGTCGTCAGCACCTGCACGCTGAACTCGAGGTTCAAAGCAGCTTCACTTGGACTGGTCTCACGCTGCTTCTTCAAAAAGCTGTCGAACTCCTGGTGATGATCACTGCCAATAGCCAGATCGTTCATCATACCTTCCATCTTGCCCGTAAATTGCGCCCCGCACCGTAGCTTCAGTTTACCAATCATAAGCACTTCAGCGTCATCGGAAGCAGACCGCTGGTTCAACAGACGCTTGGCTAGCTGGTTACGGTAGATCTCAGCAAAAAGATCTTTGTCCGTGAGGTACGAGAACACAAACACCACTTTCTCGAGGTAGTCCTCCACCTGCTCATCACTAAGCTTCTCGCCACCAGTCTTAAGAATCCGGTCACAAAACGTACTCATTAGCTTCGCCGAGCTGTCGGGACCAACGTCCTTGTTCACAAACTCAACAAACGCTTCCTTCAACGCCTTCTGAAACAGCGAGTTACCTGCAAACTGCTCGTTCACGATGCTGCGAAACTTGTCATGGATCGTAAGGATATCCTTGATAAATGCTGGGTCCGAGCTGGGATCACGAATATTGCCTGAGGCCACGGCATTTGCGCGCTTGATTACAATGTCATTCCCCACAGCAGTAATGTGCTGCTGCACGAGGTCTGCAATGGGTTCCAGTCCATTCTTCAGACGCGCAAACAGGCGATACATGCGCGCCAAGTCATCCAATTTATTGTTTTTCAGCAGCGCAATCACACCCGAGTTTTCTCGCTCAATGAGCTCCTTTTGTGCAGCTTCGAGCAGCACGCTTTCCAGTTTCTTCACCAGTTTCGGCTCGGTGGACTTGTGCAGGTACGTGTGCACTCGACTACGTTCGCTCTGTAGCGCATCCTCCACCTTTTGCAAATACACTGGCGTCGAGTCTTCACTAAGCCAGCCTTTCGACTTGCGCTCGTAGTACGTGGCACTCGTTGTCACAAGGTCGGCCTCTAGACAAATCTGGTAGACATCGAGGGACTTCATCCCCATCACTTCAAAAATCTCGACGCAATTGCGCATGAGCGTCGCGTCAATCATCTCTCCGTTCCGTTCCTTCTCAATGAGCTCAATCATCGCGTCTTTCACGCGAGCTTTCACTTTCTGGAACACCCGGCGGTCAAAGCTCTGCAGTCCCGCGTCGTCCAGCGTCGGGAGCGAGTGGTGCTTGACAAAGTAGCGGTCCAAGTACATGAAGAAGCGCGTCATCCACTTCATCATGAGCTTGTGGTTCGTCCAGCGCTTCACGAGCTCTTGCAAGAAGAACTCGTCGTGCGCGAGCTCGAGACTTGGCAGCACTTTGTGTTCCAGGTACGTGTCAAACGTCAGTCCGTGCCGGTCATAGAGCTGTTCCGAGAAATTGTACGGCGAGCGCTGGGTGCACATGTTGTAGCACGTGGTGTAGATGGGCATGAAAGCATTGGGCGGGAAGGGCGACACCTTGATCTGGTCAAACCCCTTGTCAAGAATATCCAGCAGCACGTCGATAGCTTTGGGCTTGATCTCCTGGTCCCATCCTTCCTCGAGCGAGATCATGTGCTTCCCACTCATACAAGATCTTGAATCTACCTCCGAAAGAGCTGGCACTTGTCGCGTGGTGACGTAGCAACGGGACGACGCGAGAAAAGCTTCTGAGGGTCGGATCACCGTAGCGAAATCCTCTATCGAGTAATGCACGCGGCTGACCCGCGGTGGTCCCACCTCTCGAACAGAATATTGCGGCAAACTTTGACGAATGCAATTATCACCGAACGTTTCTGCTTCAGTACCGTGAATATTGCGCTAAACCAGCTGCGACTGGTGCCCAAGTTTTCACAGGTCCTTCGACAATCCATTCTAGTTCGATTCCTCGCTTCTGATTGGTCCACAAGGCACTAGAGGACGAATCAGACAGCGCCTGTCCTGCCCTCGACGTCGCCCGCGCCCGCGCGCGGTCCTTACGCTCTGACGGCGCTCTGCTCCTCTCCAGTTGCCAGCTCTGTCCACTCTGTCGTCAACACACAAGCAAAGACGAAAACAACGGTAGCTCGCACGTGCACGAGAGACTCGATCAAGCCTGATCTCTATACATTAATCGACTCGTTCAAGGCGTCCTCCGTCTTGTTAACCGCATTTTGACGTCTATGCTCTGCGGCGTCGCGCTCGGGTCGTGGGAGTTCTCGGCTGCTTTCTGTGTGGGACGCAGTCGTGGCTGTGAGGTCAGTATCGTCACGTCGGAAGATACGCGCACTGTCAGCAAACGCCACGTGGGCTTTGTCCCGCTCATGGAGACGCTCACGACGGCTGCTGGCTCTGGCTCTGGCAAGCGCCGCTGGGTTGTCCACGATCTGGAGACGCTGAATGGAACTGCAGTGAATGGAGAGGAGGTGCCCACAGGTGGCAGTCGAGAGCTTCGAGATAGGGATGAAGTGGTGCTGGCCTCGACCATGCGGCAGTGCGTGCGGCTTCAGGTTCAGTTCCGGGACGAGGCGTGTTCGCGCATTATCGTCAAAGCACTTGTGTGCTCGTCCACGCTGTCTCCTGCACCATTACATCGTCGTCTGGTGACTCCAGGGACAGTCGCGCGACGCTTGCCACGACGAGACGTTGTGGCAGCAGCATCAGGAGCTGGAACAGGATTGGACCGATCAGTAGTTACGAGTGCTGGTAGTCCAGCTGTCGTGAGGACGGGCTGTCGATCGGGAGGACTTTTAGCAGGGACAGTGCGAAGTGATGCGAACTTGATGACACCGCCACCGCAGAGTCTTTCGCAAAAGCGGACTCGTACTAGTCCACGACATGGAGCTGGCGAGACCAAGAGTGTGGATAAGAGCGACAAGCGACGGAGTAGATCGCAAAGTCAGCAGAGGAAGCGCTCCCGACGAGGTGGCGTGACTGACGAAGAAGACGAAGCAGCATTGGAAGGAGTTGCAGGAATGGAGAAAGATGTTGTTTCTGCTGCTAAAAGAGCTCAAGAGCATGAGAAAGAAGAGAGAGAGCGGCTGATGATGTGTTCGGTGTGTCTGGAATACTATCACGGTAGTGCTACGCTACCGTGCTCGCACACATTCTGCGGATACTGCATCAGCAAGTGGTTCCGCCACTCGCTGTCCTGCCCCGAGTGCCGAAATGTTGTGAAGACAGTTCCTGTGCGTAACCGCGCACTGGACGAGCTCGTGGAGCGACTAGTAGGCCACACGGAGGCGTACAAGTCCCATGTGCGCCGTCGCGCACGGAAGCAGCGACGACTTGTTGAATCGCGCCAGTACGATGGTGGAGGCAGTGACGACAATGAGGATGCAGCTGAAGGCGCTGTTCGTGGCGTGGGTTGTCTACAGCTAGGCGGGACCCGCACCGGGGAGCCCAGGTTGCGCGCCAGCATTTTCACTCGTTGGTCGGCCGATGAGAGACGCGCGTTCGCCGCTTACATCAGCAATCTATTCGGTGAGGCTCGTCTCGCTACTTGCAAGAAGGTAGGACTCACGCCGCTCGCAGTCGACACGTCCAACACGAACCAGCTGATCACAGCCGCGCAGAACCTGCTGCTGGACTGCGGGAACTTCCTCATGACCAGCAACGGGTGCTGTCAACGCCTCCAAATCTTCCTGCTCTTTGGATGAAGCTGACCGTGACGAGCAGACGAGCATCAAGCGAGCTGGATTGGTCTCACATGCGCAATCTTGAGGCCGTATACTTACACAGAGGCCGCGACAGGAAAATGATCAAAACCTCGTGCTTCCAACAGCAGTGTGCTGTATCTGTAACCTGTATACAAACACAGCCGCGGTACCGCGTGCCTCCTGTCTCGTCTGCAAACAATCCGTTGTTTGATTTTGCTAGCTACCGGTCGGTCGGTCGGTCCGATAAAACCTCGCGCGAGGTTTTGAACTACACGTTCTCTCTCGACTTGGTGGTCTCCGTGCACGCGAGAAAGATAAAAGAAGACGCGAGAATAAAAAACGAATAAAAAACGGCCGCGACGACGCGACATGCCCCGCCTCCACGATGAGTTGCCGACCGACATTGAGCGGATTGTCGACCGGAAGCTGATCAAGCAGCGCGTGCACTACTACGTGGTGTGGAAGGGCTTCGGCGAGGAGAACAACACGTGGTACGGACGGCAGCAAGTCTTGCGTAGCACTTGTCCCACGTGGCTGGAGCAATAAGGACCACTTTTGACTTGTGACGATACTGTTGTAGGGAGAGTCGTCTCGATCTCATCGCGGATGGCTACACGGACGCCATCAAGAGCTACGAAGAACGTACGGACGCAGCTCCGTCCTCTTTTGTACTTTCGCTCGCTCTCCGTGGCAATGAAAGATACGGCACGCGATCGTGGAACTGATCTTTGTCCATGTCGTTATTGTTTTGTCTTGATTATGGTTGGATCATCATCCGTCAGAGCGAAAGAATGAAGCGGAGACGTTGACGCCTCGTGGCCGGAGTCCAGGCCGCCCGTCGTCCAAAAGCCCGCGGACAAAGAGTCGGAGTCCTGGACGGGGCGTAGGTCGCCCACGAACGCGACGGAGTCGCTCTCGCAGTGTCTCAGTGAGCAGGAAATTGCCAATGATTAGCAAGGACGACGCTGAGCAGCAAAGCAGCAGTTCGTTTTCGAGCACGACGACGCGGCAACGGAAGAAAAGCCCAAGCGATACCGTGGAAACTGTTGCAGCAACGGAGACACCTGGACGTCAATCGGCTCGAAAAAAACAACAGACGACTACGGAGACGAGCGAGTTTGTGTCTCGACTGGAGGTGCACAAGAGTGGGGATCCCATGATGCTTGATGAGGAGGACGACTCGGTTCTGTTGCGGTCAACTATTGCGGCGCTGCACAGCATCGCTCCGTCAACCCGACTAGGGATCGGAAAGGGACGTGCACGAGAAGTCAGTGGTGCTGTCGTACGAGGCGGACGAAGAATCGAAAATGCTGTTCACGAAGCACTTAGTACCCGAAAGTAAGGCGGCCGACAACTCGAACGCCAGCCCATCATCGGCCAATGCTGTTCACGAAGATGCCAGCTCGACTCAAGATGGAGTGGTTGCCAAGACTACGACAGGTGGCGGCTATCTCATGTCATTCTTCAGTGCAGCGACCGTGATAGGCTCTCTCGTGGCAAGCCATATGCTGCCTCGTGAGGACGAAGAGGATTCCGAGCTGTGGCGAAGGTGGCTTCCGTTCCTCACGCCTGTCGTGTCGCTGCTGCTTTTCTTCCACCTGAAGGATGCGCACGCTTCAGCAAAGTGGGTGGCCACTAGTCTGGCGTGGCGTGCTGCTGCAGAGCTGCTCCTATTGATCGGGACTACCCCGCGCGAGTTTGAGATGATGGTGGCTGGCTCGGTCTTCGTTGCTAATGTGTCATTGCTAATTGCTGTCGTGTCCGTTCTTCACAACGGTGAGCATGTGCAGTCCAAGGCTACACTTGCACTGCTCGGAGTTGGGTCCCTGGCGCTCTTCCTATCCGACAGGTACGTGTCGAGTTGGGAGTCTACTTGCTGTGCAGTTGTTGGTGCGCTCTAACTTCACCCATCTCTTGTTGTTGTCAGCTGGGTGATTTCCACTAAGAATACTGAATTGGAATCCCGGGTGACTCTCATGTCCATTGCTGTCGTAAGTACTGCTCGTGGTGCCGAGTAATTAATTGTGTCACCGATGCTCATCTTCTGTTTTGGATGCCCAGCTCATAATTGCACTGTCGTCAATGCCATCGGCATCCATGGAGGATGATGAGTAGAATAGGCGATCAGGCTCAAACACTTGACGCTGTTATTAGTTCTCGCTGACCTTCATTCCGAGGCAGTACTGTCACTGCTAAATGAGTAATAATGATCTTGCTGTTGCCCTAGCTGGCTGCTTTGGACTTGACCGCTCAGTAGTCGAAGATTTTAGAATAAATCAAGAGATGGCACTACTGCAGCGCCAAATGCAGCGTCTTCATCAGTAGCTGCTGGGTCTGGTCACTCACAGCGGAGTCAACATCACCCTCGCAGCGTACCAGCTCCTCAATAACCTCGATTGTAAGTGCTGACGCAGGACGCGCTCCTACCGGATGTTCCGATCGCGATGTGTACTCCTTCATTGCCTTGTACAAAAGCGTCTGACGCATCAGTACCTCTGTATTCTCCTCATTCACACCTGCCGCCGACTCAGCCGCGATATCGTCCCATAGCTTGCCGTCATCGACAATGCAGGATCGCCACACACCGGCACGCATGTCCTTGTACTTCTCGGTCAGCAGGTCAGCTGCTAGTGTATCCAACGCCTCCAGCGCCATCAAGAAAAGGTTGGTTCTAGTGCACAAAACAAGAGTTGCATTAACGTGAGAGCGGCACCTTCTGCTACGCACAACACGACAGTTAACAATACCTCATGGGGTCATCCTTTTCAACCGAAAAGGCAGAGGCCAAGCACGTATCGACTAGCTCTTCAGGTGAAAGCGGCTGTGAAGTAACGGGTGACTCCAGCGGTAGCTGCAGCAATAGCTCCTGAAGCTTTCCACGCACAAGCTGTGAAATATAGACGTAACGACTCTGTCAATACCATTTTTGGCAAAGTGTTAAACCAGTCAACGTACCTCGCGATCAATTTCCTGTACACTGTCAGGATGAGATAGACTGGGCGAAGCAAAGGCGGCGATTTTAGCGATGCTAGCCATTGTCTTGCGCTTTGGCAACGATTGCTGCTCTTCCTTTGCCTCATGAAGTGCAAGTGTCACCACCTGGTCATATCGCTCGATTGAGATTGCAGTCAACCAGCAGTACTTCTTCAGGTGGTCGCGTTCGCTCATAAATTTGTGCAACATCGGCGCAAAGAGCTGTGAGTGGGCCAACAAGTATGCCAACATGGTCCGAGAAGACGCATCCGCCTTTTGGTCGTTTCGGGTCCAGGGGTTCCGAACTTCGCCGTTATACCAGCGGAAGATAAAGTCGTCGAAGCCCTCATGCTTCTTGCAGTACAACTCCAACCTCTTCGATGCTGGGCTCTTTGGAAGTTTGCCAAGCACGCAATCCAGCTTATTCAGGTTCTCCGAGTCTTCAATCAATACCAGATAAACCATGCCTTCAAAATAACAGTACTTTTCGCAGAGTTCAACACACTGATGAAACAAGTTTGCGCGCTTACGGGTGATCACACCATCCGTACCAAAGTCGACTGCAAATTCGCTTTCTTGGAAAGGTGTCTGAGTTGCAAAGTAAACAAGAGGGTCTAGAGTCACGCGCTTTGTGTATGCTTCCTCCGCGCGCAGATCGTCTGCGTCTCCGCGCAAAGAAAGAGGAATCAGACTACCGTAATCGTCCAGCAAAACGGTTCCTAGTCTCCGGATCTGATCCATGACCTCGAAAATCTCATCGTACTGCCAGCGAACCTGTCTCTCACACGACCCTGGCTGCGAGTATCCCACAAGCGTAGACAGACGAGAGATTTGATTAACCACAACTTTTCGCACCTCGTGCGCGAGTGTCCGACTTCCAGCCGGTGCAAATCGTACAGCTGAACCTTGCACAGGTGTACAGAGCATACTTAGCATAGCGCAACCGCTTTCCAGTAGGCCGCATAGATATGCTGGATCGCTCTCACTAACTGCCGTCGAAAGTGACTGCACCTCGTCGTTCAAACGCTCGAATAGCTCCGTGATCTTGCTCACTTCGCTGTAAAATACATCGAAGGAATTGTAGCCAGCCAGGCGAAGCTGCTCCGTCCGATACCCACGTTTTACAACAGTTTTCTCGATCGCATGTAAAATAAACTTCCCAGTTAGACGGCATTGAGTCTCCGATGCAACTCCATCGCCGGAAGAATTCGAAGACAGAATCGAAGCCTGTAGCTTGCACAGAGCAATTGCAGCCTGAAGCTTCTCCTCATTTTTTGCCAACTCACACTGAAGCTCGGTGGAATTCTCGATAAACTCCCAGACGGACACACAGCGGCGTTGCAAAAAATCCAATAATGCCATGTGACGATTCTTCTTTTCTTCCAATTGGTAGCGTACCAGCTTCGGGGTAACAGAGAGAGTATCAGACTCCTTCTCTTGCACACCGGTCTTGGTGGTCGGTGCGCCCTTTTCCCATCGCAAGCCTGATGACGACTTGGCATCCAAGATTTGAAGATCTGCAATGACGGCAGCCTGGGCCGCATGCCTCACGTCACTTACGCTCACACGCAGCGCCACTGCAGAATTTGGTGCTTCGTGAAAGTGCGTCAAAATCAAGCGGACATAGTCTTCAACGGTCAGGTTCGCCTCCCCGAAACGGGATGGCTCATTCGTCTCGTAGCTTGCTTCGCGTCTTCGACGCGCCCTTGCTGCAGATGCCTCGGACGGGAGTGGAGATGGGAAAAGTTCCAATTTTTGCATGTTCGAGGCGGTAGCCATGCATACTGATCCATTCAATGACTTCACCGCTTCTTCGATGAGCAAGAACAAAACTGATCCCCTCACGGCATTGTTTTCAAATAAGCTCTGGTCTGCGCGAGCTCCAAATGCCAGAGCCAGTCTTCCTTGAGTACCTTGAAGCGGGAACGCCGTCGACCGTACAGTGGGTTGCCCAATGCGAGGTAAAAGGAGCGCACAAAACTGGACAGGCTCCATCTGTGTCCACACGAGGTACAGAGCGCCACGTGTGACGGAAAAGCTTTCGACTGCTAAAAAAATGGTCGACGGTCTGCCCATCGAAAGCAGGCTCAAAGTCCAGCATGTGCACCCATTGCGGCATTGGTGCAGAGCCACCATTCACTGCCTCGAGTGAGAACTGGAACAGCGCGTACTTGACCGTCGCGTTTGTTCCCGATCGTGACGATGAGCAGATAAAAGCCACCAGTAGACCGACACACGCGTCGTGCACGTATGGCACTGAAACAACGTGCACTTTTGCCAAATGGGCTGCAGGGAAGTCGTTGCTGAAATAACGTGCTGCTACACGCCCAGCATTAAAATGCCATCGAGAAACACATGAGCAGTCAAGCACATCTTCAATGTTAAAAGAGCGTCGTTCCAACATCCCGTCCTGAAACAGCACGAGCATATCCGACGTATCATCCAATTCATCTCCGCCACTATCAATCGACGCTGCGTCTCCAAACGATGATGGAAGAACCCTCAAGCACGTGATCGGCTGGTTTACATCCAGCTCTTCCTTGTCCGCCCTAGCTCCTGACCCAGTCGACGAAAAGAAAAAGTGCGACACTGACTTGGTGATCCCTGCCAGCAAGCCTGCACTCTGCTTCTCAAAAGCTCGCACACGAATGCGTCGGTCTTCCACCGTGACTTCCCACACATTGCCCTGATTGCTCCAGCAAATCAGTCCATCAACACCTCGTTCATGTCTCCCGTCGTGCTCTGCTGCTACGATCGCAGCATGGTCGTGCGTATACACGAGTTCACTAATGTCCAACGGTATCTGTATACTCAATGGCATACTCTCATACGGCAGCTCAATATCTTCCCACAAGAGCACCAAGCCGCTCTGAGCGACGACTAAAAGACTGAGACTCTGACTGTCGAGCGCAAACAAAAAAGGGTACGCCACGTCGTCCGACCCAAGTTCACCCGGAAGTTGCAGAGCAATCACTTTGTTCCACTCTTGTTGCCACAGCAGCACTTTATTGCGTAAGAAAAACACAAAGAAAGGGACCCACTGCCGGCCACTGCGATGACGCGCCGACGGCACTGACGCCCGACAGCAGCGCACTTGGCGTCGCTGGTACAGACGCGGCTGTAGGTGCCACTCCTTCTGCACTTGGTCCAGTACTGAAGGCGGTACTCGACCGCCTTCGACGATCGTACAGCGACGCGTATCCACTAGCAATGATGACGCGTCCTCGACCACGTCGCTGACGCCCCCTGACCGCCGCGCGTACAGAGCGTCCCAATGCTCGAGCCGCTGTCGCTTGAGGGCGCTCGAGACGTCCGTAGCCAGCAGTCCCGCGTCGCCCACGCGCTTGGAAGGCCCTTCGACGAACGTGCGCGCGCGGAACATGAGAAAAAATGAGTGGGTTCAGTCCTGCCGGGGTCAAAAGAGTATAGTGGTGGACTGCTATACACGTGTATACACAACGAGGACAAGAAAGTGGATATTCCACATGGCTACACTTTTGGTCAGAGCAATGGGTTGTGACGTTTAATGTGGGTGTTGTGTGCTGCTTCGCTGCGAATAAATACGACCCGGGTGCGTGGCGGTTGCAGCCAGTCAGTCAGTCAGTTGTCACTCGAGTTGACATCAACTCAGAGCGTGGGTCCCACCCACCTTTATAAACAAGCAGACGAGTGCTCTGTAGAGGATCCTGGCGACTCCGTGGTCAGAAACCAAGCGTCGCGCGCTTGTTACGATACGCGAGTTCTGCATCTGCTGCTTCCGGCGACGTCGCGTTCGCTGGCTGGTCCGCAGTACTGCCATTGGATGAGGAGACGCTGCCTGGCGTTTTTCTACCGTCGTTGAAGCGCTTCCGAAAGTAAGCATGGGCAAGTCCCAGCACCTTCACCCATTTGAGCATCTCTTCCTGGTTCTTCGCAACCAGTCGCGTCTGCTGGGTAGGTGAGCATATCATGAACTCGTGAGGCTTACCCACATCCTTGCCATGCAGGATCTCCAACGACTTGTGCTTCAGTGGAATAGCACCACGAGGCTCGCGGTCGCCCTCGCGCTTGTAGTAACGAAGGTACCCATCCGGCTCAATATTGCACCACCGCACGCGAACGCCACGCAGCGACATGTTGCCGAATGTGCCCTTTTCATTGGAGTGAGTCGGGTGCTTGCGTAGGATGCCACTCATCGCTGGCAATAAACCAATCTGATTCGCTGAGTCTTGCGTGAACGAGTTTACACTGCTGCTGCTCCCGCGGCTGTGGTCAGGATCAAATCGTTCCGAACCTCGTTGCACGGTGGCCGATTGTCGGCTGACACCCTGCACAATCTGAGCACCGATCATGGACACTCTGCCCCCAAATGAGCTTCGGATACCACCGACAGATACACGGGCGCCAACGGTATTCCTCCGGGCAGCTTCTTGCTGTGGTGGTGGGCCGGTAATAGATGTTCGTGGTGGTGCCTCCGTCGCGTTGGTCGACACATTGAGAGTCCCATTCGTCAGCGCCTGGAATTGATCTTGCACCACTTTCATCTCGTCTTTTAGTTGCAACCGCTGCTTACTGAGCTCGCTTTTTCGTTCTTCGTCATTGTCACCTGCAGCCTTCGCGAGCTCGATAACAATTTCATGCAGCTTCGTTTGAAGCTTGCCCAGCTTAGTCTGTAAGCGCGTCGACTCCGACAAGCGTCTCTGTGGAGCTTCATCAATGTCGATCGTATCAATCGAAGAATCTGCAGACGGCAAGACAACATTTTTACCCTGATCAACGTCAAAGAAAACCTGCAGCTCGTTCTGCATTCGCAACATCTCGTCCAGTGCCGCCTTCAAATCATCTTTCAAATCTGCTCGCCGGAGTGACAGGTTGTCGGCCTGTTGCTGGTCTCCACTGCCAGTGGCCTTCGCTATTCCAGCCACGGTTTCTCGCAAACTCTTCCGCAGCAGTGCAATCTTGTTTTCCAAAAATATCAGTTGCGGCGGACGTTCCCCGCTAATGAAGGCATCCTCGCGCTTGACCGCTGCTGCAGCCACATCCATTTGGTTCCGAAACTGGTATATCTCTGATTCCACAAATCCAGTTCGCTCTGCCTCCATTTCGATCTCTTCCTCAAGATGATCACATTGTGCTTTGACTTTTATAAGAAGCTGTTCACGCGCATCTGCAGCGCGAGTATCAATCGAGCCCCTATTCACCATGGAGCCCAAAAACGCCGGTGAGAAAAACTTAATCTCCTGCTCGCTGTTTAAGTCCACGCCAAGATCACCATACTTGTCCAGCTCATTTTGCAAGTTATCGAGAGTCTGCTCTGTTTCGGCGCGTACAGCCCGCAATGCGTTGTTCTCGGCGATAAGTTCGGTGACGTCCTTCTCGAGTTCCATCGATCGCTGAACCAGTTCTGCCGTTCTCAACACTTCGGGAGATTCAATTTCACCTGCTGCTTGCTTGTCCAACTTTTCGATCATCTCCGTAAGCAAACATTCCTCTTGGATCAAGTTCTCACGCTCCTTCCCTAGCGATTCTTGACGCCGCTGGACACTTTCGACTTGCGTCTCCATGATCTCGCACTTTTTTTCCATCTCCAGGCGTTTCATGTACATGTGATGGTTCGTTGCTGACCATACTTGTTTGTGCAGTTCGCTACACACCAATACCTGAAAATACTCTTTGCGGAGTGAGTTCTGCATCACTCGAGCTGCACGAGCTTCTTTAACCTCTTCTGTCTCCTCAAGTAGCGCTTCTTCCTCGACTCGGCCCACGATGCCTTTAGTGATGTCAGCAAACTTAATGCGGACGGGGCGTACCAATCGAGCAAGCAACTCCAGTACCTCCGAGTATGTGTAACCGGTCAGTGGAATTCCATTCATCATCGTAACACGCATGTTCACAGCGAGACGCTTTTCAGGCTTCATGCTCCAGTTATAAATCTCAGCGGGACTTGCCATCCCATTTGGCAGTTTGTAAATCTCCGCGATGTGGACCTGGAGGTCAGTAAACACTGTGCCAGGAACACCAGCAATTTGTTTCAGATTAAGTCCCAGTCGTCCGTGTCCGAAGGTGACTTCAATTTCATGTACCCAGTTGTAAATGGCACCCGTTTTCATGGGTGGGCGCAACCACTGTGTGTGTCCGTACGGCGATACATAGTACGTTTTACCGTCATTGCTTTTGCTCTGACGTGTGGACCAGCCCTTCGGCAAGGCCAGTATCTCTCCAGTCTCCAATACTTCGACTGATTTGCACGGAAGTTTCGTTCGAATCTTCTCCAGGACCGCCTCCAAGTTCGCGTCGACAGGTGTAAGCTTCTCAGCAGACTCTGTGACTGCTGTAATAGTCGCGTGCTCGCCATGCTCATTTGCGTCTTCATCTTCATCCTGCTCATCGGACTCCATTTCCGTGTTGGCATCTAGTGCAGCAAGATCATTAATGTCCTCGGTAATCTGATCGGCAACACCATCAGGTAGATCAGGTCTTACTGCTGGTGAGTCCGGTGCCACCTCCTGTGGAAATCGCAAGGCTCCTTCGGGGCTCACTACTGCTAGCGTAGCCACTGACTGATTTTCCACGACATCATCAGCACCTATCAAACCTTCCGCTGCATCACCATTAATCAACAATGACGATTCTGAGTAGTCCTCGACATCCATCAGCTGTTGTGCCTCCACATCGCCAAAGGGTTCCAGCGTCACAAATGTCAATGGATCGTCCAACGTTTCTACGTCTTGATCTGCCTCTGCTTCAATTGCATCCGCCTCCGCCAATCCACCTCCCATTATTGATACGTGCTCATGTGCTAAAGTTTCCGACTCGCTCTCTCGAACGTCATCATTTGATTCATCCGCATACGCAGCAAGCACCGCTTCTTGTTCCTCGACAATCTCCTCGACACTTTCTTCCACCGTACTGTCCATATCATCGTCTTCTATAGTCCCTCCATTAGCTATAACAGATCGATCTACAAGAATGTCCGCAAGTTCCTCAAAACTCGAGAACCTCCCGACACCTGCCACATCAACATTGACATCCACGTCAATTTTCTCATCTGTAGCGTCTTTTTCCGCTCCAGCTTCAGCCTCTTCTGCTTCTTCTATTACTAGCGCCGCAGTCACTCCGACTCGGTCTGCAGTGTTCCCTGTCTCCTCCTCGGCGTTCAACGCGTCTGATCCAGCGACTGTTTCGGCACCTTCAGGCGACAATACCTCCGGAAGTGGTGAACCCTGCACCGCGTCCGCCTCTGGCATCGCGCTCTGCTCCATGTGCTGTGCGTATTGGCGATTGACGGAGTGGCAGCAAGCGCGTGCTTGTTTACGACCGTGGGGGGCAAAGTCAAAGCTTCGGTGCGACTAAGTGCGAAAATCGACAGACTCGCGTTGATTATGCAACGGAATGGGCGCTCGCCAATTCAGTTGCTCCTATGTTGCCATTGCGCGCTTAAGTTGCTCGCCATTCGTAGTTTACTTGCGTATCAACAAATCTGACGACAGTTTTGCCGTCGAGGGAAAATCCACCCGTTGTTTTACCAGCCATCGGCGACGAAATGTTCACGTGTAGTAACCGTTGCCAGTGTTACCAATGGACTTGTTTGGCTCGAATAATCCAGTGCCTATCTGGACACCGTCAACATGCGACCAGATGATTTCCTTACTCCAGCTGCCATACTCAGAGCGGGTGTATGTCACGAACTCATTTTTCCCGGGAAACGAATCGGGAACAAAAAGGCGCCAGCCATGCAGTCTCAACGCGTGAAGGTGGATGGGAAAAAAGCGCTGTATGTTATGATACACTGCAAGATTTGCGATGGCGTTCCTTCAACGTCGCGTGCAGCATCGCAGAAGTAGTTGCACCCTTTTAGTCAAAGTAACGGCAGTTGGACTGGCTCGTTACTCTTCGTAGAGCTCGCCAAGAGGTATTCAGCACGAGGCTTATTGAGTAGACACGGTGCAACTCGTCAACCGAGTCGTATGGAAATGCGGCAGCCGTAGACGAGTATGAGTCAAGTAGGTACCAACCATGCGCGTTCAAATGTGCTGTCACTATAATATCCTCAGTGTAGCTTCAGGACTTTTTGTGCGAACAAGAGCAAAGCCTCGATAGAATCAGTAAAAAACATTGTCGAGGTCGTAGGAATCGTTTGTGTTAAATGACTCAGTCGAGAACGCATCGATTTCGTGCATAGACACGGCAAAACTGCCGTGGTAAGGGAGAAGAAGGCGACGATATATGGCGTGTGTGTGACGCTTGAGTGTGGCCACTTCGTTGTTGTACACGGCTGACTGGAAAACCGTCGGTCGGGTATGATTGCCTCGTTCCACTGTTTGCCGCACCGACTGTCGCTACAAAGTAGGGATTAGTTTGAGGCACATGCAGTATCTCAGTTTCGTACTCACGTATGCTGGATACGGACTAGAGCCACGATCTTACGTGCTGTGTATTTGTGATTCCGTCGTTAGTAAAACACGTGGAAACAACAACGATTTTTGTCCAAGTGGAAATCTTTCTCCCAAACTGCTTCCAAACTGATCATCCAGAAAGCTTGCACATGTACTTGCGTAACATGTCTGGCGAACATGGACAGTGAATGGCAAACTGGGTGTAATACTTGGCTAGGCGTAGATTGACGTTGTCTGTACGATCAAATGAAACTGCTTTGTAAACTGCACACTTCTGTGCGTCGGGGACGCTGTTAAGTGTAGGCAGTCTTTTGCGAGTGACAAGACTTACACTCCTTCTGAGGAGGGCACCCTGCGTACCTGTACTCCAGTATGTTTTTTGGTTTTGTAGGTTCAGTGAGTACATTCAGTATTCCTAACGACCGATCTCTGCCCTCTTCAGCGGGGCCTACACATTCCCAAACCGAATGGCCACTACTGAATGGGTTCTCGAGGGACCAGCCAGTCCAGGGCCCCCGACTATTCGATGTTGGGGGTTTATGCATCTTCGAGAGACCGAGCTCAGTGGTACCGGGGTTCCCGGGTGGTACAACAGAGACTCATGTGTCACTCATGTTTAACGACCTTGAGGTGGTCATAAAGGGGATCCAACCGGCAATCATAATTTTGGAACCACAGTGCTCACCCAAGGCGCCAGGGGAAACTCATACCTAAACTTAATGCTGCATACACTAACGATGTCTTTATAGCCCGTTTGGCAAACTAGGTTACGCTATCGTTTCATGCTGTCTCACATCGATGATGCTGTCCATATCTTGAAGCCACAAAGATAGGTCAACATTGGAGCAACCTGTATTATTGTGATTCGATGCACCTGCACAATAGCTTAAGTCATATATCAATGGTGCTTTATAACGTAGAAGAAGTCCCGACAAGGATACGTTATCAGCAAGGTGTTGCATCAAGAGGCAATTATTCTCATCCGGTAGACGTCACGAACGCCAAAGCCACGTGTACCCCCACAGCGATGACGAGTATCGACAAATTGTATTGTTATATAAGCATATAACTCTCGAAGTTTAGTTTCCACTTTGTGCTTATCATAGCAGACGGCCAATCTCTTACGAAGCGCTTGATAGTAGTCAACATAAGCAAGAACGAGCTAGGCCACAGGTGACCGTGTGCTGGTGAGCGTCATCAGTTAGCAACAGTGATGAATGGTGACGCGAAGCTTCCTGTAATGGGGCACCCTGAAGCTTGTACTGGTGACAGTACAAGCTACTTATTCTGACGACAGAATAAGGCGGTGCCTTCGGAACTTTCACGTACACTGGTACGTGCAGAAGAAGACGGTAAGAAGAAGTGAGTACTTGGTTAAAGTAAAAAGTAGAACTGCATTTATCATAGTTAATGTCTGTTAATAAATCACTATTTATCCTCATCTAACTATGTATGGATACAAATGTGCATATTAACTATCTGCTCACCACTCATTGCGTACGTCTGTCGTGGCGCGTCTTCGTTGGTTGATATAATGGCCTATATCAACCAATTAGGGACTACTCGTAAGTGCTGCAAAACATTTGTCCTTGTGACAATATTCTGAGAATATAACTCTTATAGTTATATTCTATTAACAATTTCTTACAAATTGTTATGTAAAAATCTACCTCGTTACATCACCCCCCCTCCTTAACCATCGGTTACTTTAGTGACTGGTTGACTAAATGGATACTCGTCCCAAATTATTTGGGACAGGGTTTGCACTTGTTCGTCCGAGTCCACTTTCCAGCAATTCATCGCATGGTTAACAAGCCCATGCGATGCGCGAGCAAGGCCGCCGATAGCGCGTTCGCACGTCTATGTGCGGACGCCGAAGAAGAAACCGCAGCAACTGATGTCTCATCGGTTGCTGAAGCGACTCAGCCTGTGTCACTTGGTGATGCAGGCGCTGGTCATGAAGACACTCATGTCTTCACAGAGTATGAGCTCGGTGTCTCATACTCTCCTGAAACGGAAGACGGATCCGTATCAACGGCAATCGAAATCAAGCCGCCTGCCAAGCGTGGCATGGATGATGCTGCGCATCGTAGCATCTTTGGTTCATCTGATGAATCAGATGAACCATCGCCGAAGCGAAGGCGCTCGAGGTCGCGAGACTCGGGCGCTAACAGTGGTGTCGGTTCTCCTATGGACACCACTTCGCAACGAGGTGCCAGTTCTTCTGTTGGCACGTCGCAAGAAGAGCGGGACCGCAGTGTGTTGCGTCTCGCTCCTGAGAAGAAGGCATGGATGTCTCCAAAGTCGGTCATGGATCACTTGTCGGCGACTACGAGTGATCGTTGTCGAACACGATTGTTCGATTCGTCAAGGATCCATCACCTTGACCCCAGCGCGAAAAACTATCGCGCTGAGAACGATTTCTTCATCGATGCTTTCTTTAGACATCGATGGTACAGTGGGAATCACAAGCGTGATGGTCCCTCACTACTTCAAGCGTGGAACGCCTACATCCATAACCTTGAGGATGTATGTCGTAACGTTTGGAACGACAAACTTATCAAAGCTCGTGATAAGTTTTGAAGGGAACCCCGACAGGTGCACGCTTCAAGCTGCATCATCTGTCAAGGGAGAAAGGATTAACCTGCCTCTCTTGGGGAGACTCGTGCCCGTGTTGTGTGAACAACTCTGCGTGCGCACCTAAGGAGGCTTAACTCCCTAATAGCCCGTGGTGTCGCGTACGTATCTCTAGTGAGATGTACGAAGGGATTGACAAACTGAAATCCCTTTACGACCGTGCCGGGAAGACTTTCTCCGGCGGTCCTTCTGCGGCACAGGATGTGCCGCTTCGTACTGCTCTACCAGACCCAGTACGTCAACCATCAGTTGGGAGCGGGGCTCTTATGTATCCCAGGACGGGGGATAGCCGCTCCACCGGACGAGATATCTCGTCCGACGTCCGTTCACGTCGCGGTGGTTCAACAGCTGCTCAACTAGATAGCGCTGGCCACCGCGAGAGTCCTCTAATGGAGGTGGAGGAGGAGGAAAGACGCTCTCCACACGATCATGGGGATCCGTGTGTTCCCGAGAGCTTCTTTGATCGCGTGACGCAAGGGTTACGCGGCGATCTCGAACATGAGCGAAACAGGCGTCTCCAAATGGCGGACACTGTCTCGAAGCATCGAGCTGAGTTTGCCTTTGCTCAGCTTGAGAACGAGAGAGCTCTGACATCTCTTCATGACGAGCTAAGGGTAGCTCTTGGGATTGCTGATCGGTCTCGGGATGAGATAGCTGCTCTTCAGAACCTTGTCGATGGCCACCGCCGGGAGCACAAGGCTCTCTATGAGATGCTTGAGCGCAAGGGCGTTATTCATCGGAAGAAGCAGCGTACTGATGGTACGGCTTAAGCCGACCAACGTAAAACGTGGGATGCGTTCGCATCTTACGTGGCAATTCAATCGTGTATGCATTTCCTTGGCGATGCAATACACGAAATGGGCCGATGTACTTGGGTAGAAGTTTACTACTACCCAAGTTAGTCACTACAAGCTTTGGTAGATTAACCGTAGACAGTAGGACTAAGTCACCTTTACTAAATAAAAGAGTGTTTGCCCTTCCATTCTTGTCAGCGTTTTGCCTTTGCTCGTCCACCGCTTCGGCGATGGAATCTTGCACAAAACGGACTACCGTTTCACGAGCCAGTATGAACTCATCTGGTGACTCGTTAGCTTCAGTGTGCTGTGAGCGCACTGCAGCGACATCAACCTTTTCTTCAGTGAGGGCTTCCGCACTCTCACTGGCATCATCTTCTTCGATATCGATGTAATCGATATCGGCATCAAACTCAATGACCTCTTCGTCAGAGCGTGATGAGCGTTAACCAAATCGATTTTTGCTCGCGCGAGTCCCTCCCCCCCTTAAACCAGAGTTACACTCTAGTAAGGTGGGTACACGCGGATGGCGCAAGCCATTCACGTAAAAAGCTGCATGTGTCGTGGACGCATGCACCGAGTTGTTAATGGCAAACTTTACCATTGGCAAAAACTCACATTAACCTTTAGAGGAATGTACGTATCCTCGAAGTGTCTCTTCGAGGACACGATTGGCTCGTTCCGTCTGACCATCTGACTCTGGATGATCAGATATAGACATCTTCAAGCGCGTTCCGAGTGATTTGAACACGGAACGCCAGAAATCAGCAGTGAAGCGTGGATCTCTGTCCGATACGAGTTCACGGGGCAACCCATGAAGTCGGAAGATGGTGTCGATAAAGACACAAGCACATCCACTTGCCGTGATTGACTCTGGTACAGCCACTAGGTGTACCATTTTGCTGAATCTGTCAACAAATACGAGAATACCCGTATTCCCGCGTGCGTCTTTGGGTAACCCGAAGACGAAATCCATTGAGATGGATTCCCAGCACTCAGCCGGAACCGGTAGAGGCTGTAAAGGTGCACGCAGTGAAGGACTTGACTTCACTCGTTGACAGACTTCGCATGCGCGAACATACTTTCGCACAAACTGATACTGGCGGGGCCAGTAAAAGTATCGACTCACCGTGAGATTTGTTTTCTCCCGGCCACGATGTCCTCCTATAGGAGCATCGTGATACTCGAACATGATCCGCAAACGCAGATCAGTATCATCTGGAATGACAACACGTGGTGTGTCACCAGTAACGACTGTATAATACAGTAAACCGTTGCGAGTAGTGTATCGATCTGATGCAGATCGATACGCAGACGACAATCGTTTCAACGATTCTCGGGATGGTTGTGAGAGATGTGTCAACAACTTCACAACCTGACCATCCTGGGCATAGACGTCATAACCGCAACAGTGGCTGTCCCACTGTTGGGTTTCACGACTGGTTCAAAGTCGGGACGACGTGAGAGTGCATCAGCGACGACATTAAGTCGTCCTGGTTTGTACTCGACCGTAAAGTTGTATTCCGAAAAGAATGACAACCACCGCGCCATTCGTTGTGAAAGGTGCGGGCTGTTCACTGCCGTGCGTAATGACGCATGGTCAGTGTAAACAATGAAGGGTCTATCTCCTAATAGATAGACTCTGAACTTTGCGCGTGCATACTTCATGGCAAGAAGTTCCTTGTCATGCACTGGATAGTTCCGCTCAGCAGGTTGCAGCTGACGCGACTTATAGCAGACGACGCGTTCTACGCCTATAAGATCGTGCTGCATTAATGCACATCCGATTGCGAAAACGCTGGCATCACAGACCACATGAAATGGCCTGTCCTGATCGGCAATTGCTAGGACTGGGGATAGTATCAAGCTGTGCTTAATACCATCAAAGGAGCGCTGACATTCAGCATTCCATAACCACCTCTCGTTCTTTTTCAACAAACGAGAAAGGTGCACAGTCATCTCGGCGTAATTGCGTGAATACTTATGCAAATACGCCGCTAGCCCAAGGAATTTTCGAAGACCTTTGACATCAACCGGCTCAGGCCAGTCGGTGATCGCCTTGATCTTTTCGGGATCAGGACGTACACCGTTCTTACCAACGATGCACCCAAGAAGTGGTATTTCGCTTGATGCAAATCTACACTTCTTGAGGTTTGCATACAATTGTTGCTTTCGCATGATTGTAAGAACCTGTCGGACGTGGTCCCTGTTAAGAACCTGTTGGACGTGGTGCCTGTTAACTTCAACATCCGACTTTCCATCCATAGCCCGACTGTGGATGAATACGTCATCGAAATAACTCGGCGCGAATTCTCGTACTGGTCTCAACAGATGTGATGCACATCTGTTGAACGTGGCAGGGGCATTACTGAGCCCTTGTGGCATTACTAGCCATTTCCAGAGCATGCCATTAGGCGTGCTAACTGCAGTTAGGGTATATCCCGTTCTCGCATTAGGATATGATAGAAGCCATCCATCAAATCCACGGACGAAAAGATGGTACTCTTTGACACACCATCAATGATTACGTCCTTCCTCGGTATCGGCGTCTTAGCCGGTACCGTTGCAGCGTTCAACTTGTTAAATGCATGCAATATCCGCCACCCTCCTGTTGCTTTTCGCACACAGAAGGTCGAAGAGCTATGTGGGAAAGTTGACTTCCTCACATGGCCATCAGCTAATCGATCGGCACAGAACTTGTCGATCGCAAGTACTTGTTCACGAGGCAGTGGCCACTGCTTCATGACACAGTACTTCTAGCCTGGTTTAAGCTCGACCTCGTGTCGCGTACCTTAATCCTGCGGAAACTCGCACAGAACAATTTCAGGGAATTCATCCTTGAATTCAACCAAATCTTCATAGAGAGGATCTGTCTTGAGCGATTCCCATGATTGAGAGTCATATCGCTCAACTCGTGTCTTTTCATCTAGGACACTTGTTCTAGGATACACTTGTCGAGGAGACGGATGAATGGATTCTGTCATTGTCTTAGTTTATTCGTTTCTTGCTACCGTGATTGACTAGTTGTTCTTTTCTCCATCACTCCTATCCACTCAATCAATCATCCACTATGCTGTCCACTCAATCACTAATCTTCCTACATCTCTCTAAGTCATCAGCCGTTTCTTCAGCCGCTACTTCAACCGTTACTTCAAACTACTTGCATGCTATATGCTTCTCTCCAACTTCGACACTGCGCTAATCGACTCTCTAGGCCATAAAAAACATGTACTGGCCGTGTTGACGCCGGCTCTCACTGGCTCTATCATTTCTAACACTCCTCCTTAAGTGCGCCTGTGTCGTCGACATCTTTTCGTCTACGCCACACCGAGGAGCTTTCTCATCGCTGCGAGCTTGGCGCGTCGAGGGCTTTTGTCAGTGCGTCGGCAAGCTGTTCGTCTGTGTGGACGTATTGAGCCTTGATCACGCCACGACGCACGAAATCGCACACAAACTTGACTCGCACGTCGATGTGCTTCGCCTTCATCGATGTCGCTTCGCCGTCGAGCTGTCGTATCGCTGCTTGGTTGTCAACATGAAGCGTCATGGTCAGCTCAGGTGCCATGCCCACCTCACCGAGCATCTCTCGAATGCCGAGAAGTTCTCGTGCAGTCTCCGACGCGGCCACAAACTCGGCCTCCATGGTCGAGAGTGTCACGCCGCCTTGCTTGCGCGACGCCCAGCTGACAGCCATGCCGTTCACGAGCACGACACTGCCAGTTAGGGACTTGCGGTCGCTCTTGTCCGCGGCGTAATCAGCGTCGCTGTACGCCTCGAGCGTAATTGGAGAGCTCGCGTCATGCACTGGAGTCATGATCAATTTCAAGGCAGTTGTGCCCTTGAGATAGCGAGCAATACGCTTCGCCAACTTCCAGTCCTTGAGCCGAGGTGCGTGCGTCTGTCGAGTTGCTTTATGCACCGCAAACGCGACATCTGGACGCGTGCAACGTGCTATCCAAAGCAAACTGCCGACGAGCGACTGGAACGACTTCACTGTTGGCTCTCCAGACGACGACAAGACCTTTAGCATCTTCATGTCGCCTTCGTCGGCGTCGTAGCAGTCGGCACTAATTGGAGCGCGCGTCGGGTTCGCCGCCTCGAGGCCGTGCTCGCGCAGCAGGTCCTTGATCGATTCCTCTTGATCAAGCGTGTAGCTTGAGCCGTCACGCGTGACGCGCATTCCCAGAAACTTGCTTACTTCGCCGAGATCCTTAATCGCGAGTGTCGATAAGCTCACAAAGAAACGATCGACAACTGCAGTGCTGGTGCCGGTCACGAGGAAATAGTCGACGTACGCTCCTACGACGACGAGCTCGGCTCCTTCATTCTTCCAGTACAAACACATGTCCGAGCAACAACGTAGGAAACCGGCATCGGTGAGGCTTGAGTGTAGCAACTGGCTCCACAGGCGTCCCGCCTGCTTTAACCCATATAAGCTCTTCTTGAGCTGCAGCACGACACCTTGCTTGTCCTTTGCTCCTAATTGCTGCAACGTCGTGTCGTTCACCTCCATGCCGCGTGGTACTTTAAGCAGGATCTCGAGGTTCGCTTCCTTATTTGCGTGAACGTAGGCATTTGGAATGTCCCCGTGTTTGGCTGGCACATTGCATGTTGCTGCAAGCGCGATAATAACCTTCACGGTCGACATGTCCATTACGGCCGCGAAGGTGAGCTGGTAGTCGATGCGGAACACCTGTTCATTGCCACATGCGACCAGTCGAGCCTTGTAGCGCTCCAGGTCGCCATGTGCATCGGTTATTGTTTTGTAAACCCACTTGCTATGCAGCGCGTTGCTACCGGCAGGGCGCTTGATCACACGCCCCACATCGTTCGCTTCAAGCGCTGCGATTTCTTCACGCATCGCTTTTTCCCAGTCGGGACGCTTCGTGCTCTGCATTGCCTCGCTGTAGTTGGTCGGATCACGTTCGTACAGGTGAGCGGCGATGTCGATCGCGCTTGCAGGCTCCTCCTGAGCTGCAGACACTTGAGCACGCTTCGATGCGCTTCGAGTGCCGTGTGCTGTGCGCGTCCACTGCTTCTTCCTCTTTGTAGCATCCTTCGGTGCTTGCGCAATCGCACGTTCGTCCTTATCTGCGTCATCGAGTACGCGCTGCAACCGATCGTTCTGCTCGTCACTGATCGTTTCAATGTTCTTCACGTGTTGTGTGACGACGACGACGTTGTCTTTCTTTAAAAACACGCGGTACCCCTTAGTTTCGTCGCTACGACCGACGATCACTCCCACTTGCGCTCGTTGCTTGAGCGAGTTCTTGCGTGGATAGCGATACACCGTGCAGATCGACCCGAACGCAACGATCTCGCGCAGGTCTGGTGTCTGCTTCGTCAGCATCTGTAGTGGCGACGCGCGGCGTGCATTCGCACTGGTTGGAATTCTACACAGAACGAATGCAGCGTATTCGACGGCATCTCCCCAGGGATACAGCGGCAAGCGGCTTGCAAAAATCTCGACCGCGCCATGTTAAGCACAGTGCGATGCATTCGCTCCGCCTTTCCGTTTGAAGCCTGGTTGCGAGCTTCACTCTTCTGTCGCTCGACGCCTGCTGCCTTGCAAAACAGATCAACGTTCATGTACTCGCCGCCTCCATCTGTGCGAAGCACATGGATTCGGCAGTCGAAACGCTTTTCGAACCACGCAACGAAGTGTTCGAACTTCTTGGCGGCCTTGTCCTTGGTAGGCGCGAGAAACACGCGGCAGTAGTTGCTGTAATGATCGATGAAGTTGACCATATAACGGTTCTTCAGGCGGTCGGCGGGGGTCATCAATCCTTTGAGATCCGAACAGATGACACCGCCGATACGATCGATCGGGCTGTGCCTGCCGCTGTCTTTCCGCGATTGTGCATTTCGTGTTTGCTTCGCCTCAGCACAGGTGATGCACGTGAGCCGTTTACGGTCGGTGAGATCGATGCCGCTTGCCGGATCCTGCGCCATTCGCTTGATGGTGTCGAGAGCAATATGACCGAGTCGTTCGTGAAGTGCATTAGTGTCCCGCGTTGCACATCCTGTCGCACGGGCACCGTCCCTTCTTCGGTGGTCGCCGCCAGTAACACATCTGTAGGCGACTGCTTGCGTCCCTTTTCTGGCGACGTTGCCACGTAGAATACGTTGTAGCGCATCTGCACGTCAAACGCTACGTCGCCTGTGTCTTGGTTGGCGAGTGATAGCTGCTGGTCGTCTTGCACGAGACTGTACCCTTTCTTCACGAGCTTGCCGCATGACAGGATGTTGCGAGCGAGCAGCGGCGCGAAGTAGACGTCTGTTACGCGAATCATACGGGGCTGCTGGTCGACAAACACGCGAATGTCCACACTACCGACAAGCGATAGGCGCAACGGCTCACCATCTACGACAATGCACTCTTGGTCACATCGCTTTGCGTTAATCAGCAGTCGATCGTCGTTGACAATGTGTCGGCTTGATCCACTATCCAGGATCCACACGCTGTTGTCACTGCTCGGGTCTTCGTCGATCGATAGAGTGAGGTTCGCACCATCGGTGCGACTTCCACTGGGTCTTCCAGTCGGCTTCTTCTCTTTTCTTCGGCAGTCGCGCTTTAGATGGCCGACTTTACCACATCCGTGGCAAGTGCGCGTCTCCTTTGGTGGCTCGTCATTGGCCACGTGCGACACGACGTCACGACCAAATGAGCGACTTGAACGCGCATCGAGCTCGATCGATTGGGCAAAGTGAGCGAGTTCTTCTGCATGCGCGAGGTGGTCGGCGCGCGAGGTGTCGTACTTTACCATGAGGACAGTGGACAGTTCGGCCGATGCATATCGCACGATGTTGTCCAGCACGTTCGAATCGGCACCTCCGCAAGCGTCGCTCACCGCCACGAGATAAAGATAGTGTTCTGGCCACGTTCGCTTCGAGTCCTTTTTCGCTGTAAACAGCCTCATGGCCTGCGACGCTGTGATCGTTGTACGGAATGTCTGGAGCATCTTTTCCATGACGAACTGCAGTGTCGGCAGCACCGACCACCAAGCGTCAATCTGCTAGTTAAAATAACGTTCTGCAGTACCCGAGAGATACTGCCCGAGGACGTCAGTCTTATTATCTTCGGTCCATAGGAAGCCGCACGCTGCTTGAGCCATGTCGACTTGTCGCCAAAACGACTTACCCCAATCGAAGAAGTTTAAGCCTAGACCTTGGTAGAGCTCGCTGCCATCAAACTTCCGGATGGCGAGCTTGCGCTGTCGAGCATCGGGCACACGGTACTTCCCCACAGGCACGTAAGCAGCAGCTGGAGGCGGCGCTGCTGCTGTTCCCACTTGAGGAGCTTGTGGCTGCCCGAGCGGATGCGTGTACTGCGGCATAAGCGGCGCACCGCGCGAACCGTGGTACGGGCCATGTGGCGACGAGGCATTGCGCACTGCCGGCGCAAATCCGAGAGCGTCTCGCGTCATCGTTTCTCGCCCAAAGTCACGCCCGAGCGCGGAGCTGAACATCCCGCTCTCAATCGCGCCGCGCATGCGCTCGTCTTCTTCAGTCTTGATCTGCGAAGCCTCCATGCGCATCACACGCTCTTCCAGACCGAGAAGCGCGTTGAGAATCCGTTTGTTGACATCTTTGCTGCTCCTTTCGCGAGCAGCTGTTGCGACGTCTTCAGCAGGTGCAGGAGCGGCCCTTTCGTGGTCGTCGTGCTCCTGAGCCAGGGTGAAGTTGTCGTTGATGTTGTCAGTGTTCATCGTGTTGGAACTTGGGCTCATAACCTGTTCTAGGATACACTTGTCGAGGAGACGGATGAATGGATTCTGTCATTGTCTTAGTTTATTCGTTTCTTGCTACCGTGATTGACTAGTTGTTCTTTTCTCCATCACTCCTATCCACTCAATCAATCATCCACTATGCTGTCCACTCAATCACTAATCTTCCTATATCTCTCTAAGTCATCAGCCGTTTCTTCAGCCGCTACTTCAACCGTTACTTCAAACTACTTGCATGCTATATGCTTCTCTCCAACTTCGACACTGCGCTAATCGACTCTCTAGGCCATCAAAAAACTTGTGCTGGCCGTGTTGACGCCGGCTCTCACTGGCTCTATCATTTCTAACAACACTCTCATCCATAGATGAACTACTGAGAACTCTCTCGTTCTTAGTAAACACTGTTGCTGACCTTATGTCGGCTGCACACTCGTCGTCAGCGACGAGTACGCAGATCTGCTTGACTTTTCCACTACGCAGATCACGCAAGAACCTTTTATGTTCTAGCGTTGGCAACTGAGTGATCTCCGAAGTCAACTTCGGAGGCGCAATCAGATCAAGTGTATTAGCGCCTACACTTGATCCGTTATTGACTATGACATTCAATGTCTCTGTCATTTCCTGGGGACTTATTTTCTCAGGTCTCGAAGGACTTATTCCTTCGGCTTCCCTGGGACTTATTCCCGCGGGTTTCGGGGAACTTATTTCCGCCGTATTTGTAATATCGGGACTTATTCCCTTTACTTCCTCTAGCTGAGGCTGCGCAACCACAGCGAGACCCTCTACGAAAGACTCTCCAGTCGATCTAGGATTATCGTTTCGCTTAACCTGAGCGATCGATTGTTTCTCTTCTAGATGTTCCCCGCTAGGTATAAATCTTTGTCCCGGTCCACTCGACTTATTCGAGTGGTAGACCTTCGGCGCAGCCTGTGCTTCCTCAGAGCCGCCGGAACTTTGCTCCGAAGTGTAACCGTTTGTTACACTAAGGTTTTGTGCAGTCGTACTAACGACCGCACCACAAGTGAGGCCATCGCACTCACTCGTAGTACATCCACACGCTTGTGGATGCTCCAAAACGTTCATCAGATGGCCATCTGATGAACAAGCGGCAGGCATCGTTACTGTTCGATGTTGCCAGTTTACCCGTGGTTCGTACCTTCTGAGCCACGGCATTCCAAGGGTGACATCAAATTTGTCATCCAAATCCAATGCGATAAAGTCATCGTCATGTTGGGTATCTTCTAGCGTATAGTGGATCTTCACTATACGCTTCATGACGGTTACGGGTGCGCCTGTCGCAAGACGTACCGTCATCCACGTAGGAGGTGTGTCACATTCACTGAACTTGAAGTGACCATCTTCTAGCGATTGGCGTTGCACAAAATTGTTAGACGCCCCACAATAGACTAGAGCTCGAAGGGACAACTAATTCGTCACTTCGAGTTTCAAGGTAATGAGTGAGACCTCATAACCTGGAGCAGCAACGCACAACGTTTGTGTGTTGGGAGCAATCTTCATCAAGAGGCCTATAAATTCTCTTGACGTTGCTGGAACAGTAGGGTGCTCGGCACCTATTGATCCTGTCCGTTTTTTTGACGGTCCATCCCGTTGTTGCGTCTTTGCAACAACAGCGGACCCGCGTCCCTGCCCCTTTCTCATGGGTGGACGGTCACTACGCCCAGTGTTGCGAGACACCGGACGAGGGGTACTACACTCGTAAGCGTAGTGTCCTGTCTTTTGACATCTGTTGCATCTCTGCAACTTCTTGTAGTCTGTAGAGCGAGCCTTCTCGCTCTCTACATCACAGAGTTCCATCGGCTCTGGACCTCCGCTTTCATATCGTCTCGGTTGACGATATGATGTCGAGCTGGCGCGAGCCTGTCTCAGACTGAAGTCTTCCTGTTCCGCAATGGAAATGGCTTGTTCTATTGAATATAGTTCAAGTCGGAACAGGTGAGTCTTGACGGGACCATCCGCAAGACCCTGCATGAACACCGAAACCAACGTGTGTTCATCCACCGGATTGGAACTTATACAACTCGTGAGATGTCGTATATGTTGTGCGTAAGCGTGCACATCACGCTTACCCTGTTTGAGCTTCAAGAGTTCGGTTCGAGCTCTGAACTCAGCTCTAGGCGGTTCAAACGTTTGTCTGAGCCGCGACTTGAAGACTTCTAACGACCCAAACGCATATGGGTCGTGCAACTTGAGCCCCAAAGCCCAAGTCTTGGCACGTCCTGCCAGATTTGATTGGGCAAATGCAACTTGCATATCCCCGTCGTCGATGTGACGCGAACTTATGGCGTCGTCTAGTTCGACGAACCATCTCAAGAGGGATTCCTCTTCGATTCCCCTTTACGTGGAGATGTCAATCTTCAAGGTTTCGGGTCGACGCGAATGCATCGACCCACCAGCAGCAGCCTGCTGCTGTCTCAACAGTTCAAACTGTTGAGCACCCTGTTCTCTCAACAACTCTGATTGTTGAGAAACTTGTTGGTGAAGCAAGGCTACTTTCTCGCGTTCTGCGTCAAGTTCATTTTGAATGAACTTGGCGATAGTAGCATGTTGGGCATCTCTATTGAGAGACTCTAGCATGACGCTAACAGCATGGATGCCCATGGTTGAACCCATCCGTTCAACCGCATCCCATTCGGCATCGCTCAAATGGGAGTAGCCGTCACGCGTAGCGTGAAAGCTTCGGTCATCTTCGTCATCTAACAGATTATGTTAGATGTGAACGCGGACCTTGGACGGACTACGAAGTGCTACCAGGTGTAACGGGGCACCCTGAAGCTTGTACTGTCACCAGTACAAGCTACTTATTCTGATGACAGAATAAGGCGGTGCCTCGTAACTTCACGTACACTGGTACGAGCAGAGGAAGACGGTAAGAAGAAGCGAGTACTTGGTTAAAGTAAAAAGTAGAACAGTATTCAGCATAGTTAATGTCTGTTAATAAATCACTATTTATCCTCATCTAACTATGTATGGATACAAATGTGCCTATCAACTATCTACTCACCACTCATTGCGTGCGTCTGTCGTGGCGCGTCTTCGTTGGTTGATATAAGGCCTATATCAACCAATTAGGGACTACTCGTAAGTGCTGCAAAACATTTGTCCTTGTGACAATATTCTGAGAATATAACTCTTGTAGTTATATTCTATTAACAATTTCTTATAAATTGTTATGTAACGATTCACCCCGTTACAATTCCAGTAGAGGAGCGTGTAAAGAAGGATATGCATGTCCAAAAAGTTGCATCAACGTCACATTGCACCCAAAATAAAATGATGGCGTGTTGCAATCAGAGTAGAGGCCAAGTGTATTCAGTTGCGTGTCGGAAGGGTAAAGTTATTAGCGGCTGTGCACAAGGTGCTTACAGACCTTTCGAAATTTACTATGTCTATGTGCTTCTGCAATAACGATAGGCGTAACTTATACATCGTAGTAAGTGCAATGATCTGTCGTACTCTCATTGTAGAGATGCAAAGTGATTTTTACACTTTGATCTGAACACTCTTTGAGACCTCGTAGAATGTTTACCACACACAGAGGCCTCCAAGCTAATGGATTAAAAGCAAATATGGGCGAACGAAGAAGTAATAACTAGTTGCTTGACACGCGGGGGTAGCGTAAGTCTCGCACCTTTCGCAACTGGTAGTGTGAAGCTGTTTGATCTAAATCAAGTGACAACTGGAGTGATAAGAGGCTACAGTCACGTTTTTCTCGGCAGCAGTGAAAGTGCATAAATCTGATATTTCATGAAAGAAGAAGTTATCGAGTTGGTGTGGAAGAGTGTGTGCTGAAAAGCTATACGATGAGACCACAATTCACTCACTGTGCTGGACTGCCGGCTTATGAAGGGTCATTTCGATGTAGCTTATGTACTTTCTTGCACCTTGTGTACCCTTCGGCTTTCGGGTCGCACTCCTCGGAATACTTGGTGAGGATGCAGATGTCGCCTAGACAGAAGTCGATCTGGGGCGCACGAGTGGGCATGATCTACTCTGTGGTCCAGAAGGTGGCAACTCAATTGATTTGGTCGAGAGTGGGCTCAAAATTAGATTCTTCAGGGAGATTTCTCCCTGGACTTTTCCTTGCTAATTTCAGGGGGATTACCCACCTGTCCTTCAAGTTGCTCCCGAACAACTACGTAAGAAAGACATATTTCTGCAGCGGGTGTTTAAGCAATTCTCCTCGAAACGAATCCACAGGCCAAAATACTTCCTGGGGTTGAATTCGCACTTCAGTCAGAACACTTAACTGTCTTCACCGAGGGGCCAAAACATTTACCGTTTCCCAGAAATTACGGGATAGGCTTACCAAGTTCCTTTGCGTGTGGTGAAGCCTTGATACGTGGATCACAAATTGAGTAGTTATTGACATGTTCCTTCCTGTTGTTTGACTACTTTACGCTGTCCTATCTCATTTCCCAATTCATTATTTGACTGGCCATGACTAAAATTAATTTTTGGAGGTCCAGGTCCACGATCTTGTGACCAAGTCCAACATCCAGGGATCAGGTCTACCGTCCAGAGACCGTTTTTTCTGACTTTGCATCACTAAAAACGGTTTTTTATGACACGTCTCACTACGCTTTAGTCTCATAGTAATCCTGTACGAATTTCCATGATTCATTAGACGTCGTATTCGTGTTCTTCCAGTTCTCGCATTCAACATTCACCCAATAGCAAAACATTTTTAAAAGTCGACCCGGTCTGCCTTTTCTATGACTAACACATCATTTGGTCGGTAGGAAACTCCTTATCCCTCTTAATTTGAAAATATGTACAAATGAGAATAATTGATATTCCGCATCTCGTGTTTCCAAGCGTGCCGCGTGATCCTTAACCGGCTTTGAAACTTGGAAAGATCTATGCCAAAGTGAGCCAATTGTTTGGCGTGCCCCCTTTTTGGTCCAGGTAAATTCGTAATTAAGGTACTAACTAGATATTTTGGTTAACCGCCCCTTCGTTAT